GGGGAGGGCTAGGGGCACTGGCTGGAGTGCTGTGCGGGGCAGGCAGAGTGGAGGGCAGGCGAGGAGCGGAGGGCGTCGAGGGGCCCGAAGGGGGGGTGGCGGGTGGAGGCCGTGAATGCCAGCAGTTGGGAGTGCTGGGAGCTACTCTCAAGATTGCGCGGGTCGCGGCCATCACGGGGCTCAGTCGGTTCACGATCCACGGCCAGCGTCCAGCTCCCGCTCCCCAGCTTATCCAGCTTGTCCAGCTGTCCTGCATGTCCTGCACGCCCGAAAGGCAACTCAGCTGCATCAGCTGCTCAAGGCAGTTCACCTCGAGCCCCTGGGCCCTTGCATGCCTCGGACTTTCAACTGTGACGCGCCCTCGTCCAGCCTCGTCCCCAACCTCCGCTCATGTACCTCCCCTCCTCGGCCTCCTCGAAATCATCACCCACCCTCCAATGCTGCACCACATCTTGCTCCGCTTCTCTCTCTCTGCCTAGATCTCCAAGCCTTTCTTTCCCAGTTGCCCAGCATCTCCACCTCACAACAGTATGGTTACATGCATTTCTCATTCACTCGACCAACTTGCATGGGCACGACTCACCTGCTGCAAGTGACTGTCGAGCCTACGACAGTAGTAGTAGGCTTGTTCGGCTGCGGTGAGCTGTGGCTGAGCCTGGAATTAAGAGGCGCAGGGGGTTTAGAGAGCTCCAGTCTCGTCGAACGCCCGTGTCGATCCAAACGATCAGCCACGCATGTCGCCCAACCCCCGGCAGCCTCGGGACCTCGAGCGGGTCTTGTTCGGACCTGCCTCGTCTGCGTCTCGTGGCTCGTGATTTGGCTTTCGGCGCTCAAAGCGGTGTGGCATGTCGCAAATCTCAAAAGTCCCTCCGCGCGCGGCCACGCGCTGTTGCATCCTTCCCAGGCGCGAGACAGGCACATTCGCACCGCAATATGATCTCCGCCCATTATTAACACCGCCTCAATATCCCAAAACGCGCGCGGACATGCAACCCCATATGCACTGCAATGCTGCAGCAGGGTAGGGGTACATCATCCATGCCATCCAGACGCGGCGAGACGATTACACACTTTGGGGCGCGTCATGCACGCCTCCACGCATGCAGTCGTAAGTAGGCTCTCTACTTTTTCTTGAAGAAGCCTGCCAAAGTGCTCTGACCCATCGAAACCTTCTTAGACGGAGCCTTGGGCCGGCCCGACCCTGCAGCCGAAGTGCTTGAACTGGTACGCGATGGCTCCGTACTCTTGCGGGGAGCCGCCTTTGGAGGAGCAGCTGTTTTGGACGAACTCTCTGTATCTGTTTCGGTGCCCGAGCATGACTCTTCAGTCCAGTAGTCTGTGGTGACTGCCGATCAGCTGGGTTTCGAGCAGCAACCTTACCCATATACCCTTTGGCGTCTTTCGTCGTCCGCGACTTCTTGACTCGACGACGTTTCCTCTTCTTGCTCTCATCACGACAGGCCTTGTCGGGCTCGGCGACAGTCGTCGGCGCCGACTGAGTAACTTCACTCTCCTCGTCGAGGTCTACATCCATGGCCATCATTGCCTCCATCGCGGCCTGATCGTCCGCACGCACCATCGACGATGTTTGCTGCAGCGGGGCCTTTCGTGGTTCCGAGGCTTCGATCGGTTCTTCCTCTTCGCTGTCCGAAGCAATGACACGGCGCTTGCTCCGGGATCCCGAAGGCTTTTGCCTCTGCGTGTCAGCGAGTGGAGAGGGCTGGCGTCGCCGAATTACCGGTGGTGTCACCTCCTTCTTGACAGTGGGTTTGGCCACCTCTGTTGTCTGCCCCGGCTTGGCCACCTCCTTCCTCTCCGACTTCTCTCCCATGCCCGGCTCCAGTTTCGGATCGGCCTGCTTGGCCGACGATTTGGCTGCCTTCGCATGCACGAGTGTCTCGCCAATAATGGAGCCCAGTGATGGCTGAAGGTAGTCACTTCTCTCGCGCAGACCAAATGCGGAACTCAGAAGCACCGCTGGGTCCTGATTGTTAGCGATAGTGATCTTTCCGCTCAGCCAAGTGATCTTCAGACGAACTGACAGCTCTCTGGTCCAGTCTCTCCTCAGACTCCTCTCCAGCTTACCTTTATAGGAGTTGGCGCCACAGCGTAGACATGCACCGTAGCTGACTCAAACAGTTGACGCTTTTCTTCCGTCAGCTTCACCCCGCCACAAGTCTTACCATCTAGCTGATCTTGGCCCACTAGTACGACACCCCAGCGTGCGACTCCTTCCCCGAGACGTTTCTGCTGCGACTCGGCGTCCTCCTCGATCGCGACAGCACCCTCCTCCAACTCTTCGATCTCGTCCGCGCCCGCCTCTGAATTGCCATCGTCGCTCTGCTCGTCCATGTTCACGATGCGAACCTTTTGCGTCGCGGAAAGATGCGCGAGACTCTGTGTCGGTGGCGCCTCTTGACTGAGGGTTGTCTGGGTTTGCCCCAGGGTTGAGTGAGCCAGCAGCAGGCCGGTCACGAGGAAGGTTGGCACAGCGTCATGCGACGAGATGTATTCGCTCAGCAGGCTTAAGTCAGAGGGCGTTGGAATGATGGCACCCACTTCTTCGCTGTGTGGACGTGGACACGCAGTTCACGCGCCAGCTCGCGGTATGTCACCTGCGGTCAGCTTCAAATCGCCAGCTGAGATTACCGGCCGCTGGTCTGTGGTGAGGGTCTGAGACAACCAAATGGATGCCTTGTCACGTAATTCTGCGCTTGTTGTCATGTTGCAAACGAGTTCTTCGACAGCTGATCGTGAGATATGCCGGGGAATTGGGAGACAAGACAAAGTATGTTCTATGCCCAGGCGCTGGTACGAAGTGCATGATGACATGATTTCTGATCTCTGAGCGACGCGTGCTGCCGGGGCGGGCCGACCTGACGCGACCTGACGCGTCATTTAACGGAATCAAATCCACAACCACTCACGTGAATCCCGCTCCAGTATGAATCGTGTATCGTTTCACGGCTCTCGTTGGTCACTGTCACAAATCAGGCGCGGTCGACAGAAGACTTCTGGTTCCTCTCGATCTTTGATGTATCGCGGGTACTCTCATCGTCTGCCTGGTCTGCCCGTAAATACAATTGTATTTGCGTGTACTGTATAACATCTCTAAGGGGCCTGTTTCATCTGGTCGGCCACTCTACCTTATCATAATCCATGAGTGATGCCGTTCTACCCTCCGCTCCTGGGTCCGGGGGTCTGGGTAAAGTCGTACTCCTGCCCACTGTATCAGCCACGTGAAGCACCCGCTTCTGAATGTGCTTACACGGAGACGCTGGGCTAGCACGGCGTTTGCGCCACGGATGCTGAGGTTGCGACTGCGACACAGTGCCTTGAGTTGAGACCCCTTCATCTCGCTATACGGCGGCAGCTTGGGCTCTGCCACGAGTGGGATGTCGGGGGTGACCGTCTGTACCTCCAGCGCGTCGAGCTGCTGTGATGTTGTCGGAGAGGATGTTGTGGTCGGCGGCGGTGGCATCTTTGTGGTCGGCGGCGGTGGCATCGGCAGCGGCGGTGTGTTAGGGGCGTGGTCAACCCTGCGCTTGGTCACAGGCGGATCAGGCTTGTCGTCCAGCTCCAGGCGCCGCTTGAGACTCGAGGCCACCCGCAATGCGTGAAAATTCTGCAGGTGGCAGGCCAGGGCCTCGCGATCGAGAGAGATGCCTTCACATGCGGGGAAGGGGCAATTGTGAGTGCTGCCGTCGTTCGAAAGGGCAGCAATGTGCGTCGCAATGTGCCTCAACTGGGCACCGCGCTGGGCGAACCTAAACGCTTAGCATACAATCTCCGTTAATGATTGCGTACTCGAAATTGCGCTCCCAGAACGATTTGGTGCTGTCGAAAAGGCAGAAAGGACAGCCAATGGGGCGGGTGGCACCGTCATCTGGCGAGTGTCGATCATGGCCGAGATAACTTGGATCGTCGGCCACGTTCATCGCATACTGCGCCATATGAGGCGCGAAATGAAGGAAGATGTTTTGTTCGCCAGCCACCCTGCAACAGTCAGCCACGCAAGCAGGACATCAATCACCAGACGTTGCACAGCTTGCAGTATGTGACGCTGCTGGGGGCGGATGGCGAAGTTGTCGCGATCAGGCCATGCTCAAGCTCCAGATGCCGCACCATGTCTGACGGCGCCTTCCCGCATGTGCCATATCCGACAGTGATATTGCACCGCCCCGATGTGGAGCGGTGCTGCGCGAGGTGCAGGGCTAATGCTTGTCCGCTTGCGAATCCTGATGTGGGGCAGTCTCGAAGCGGACAAGATGCCGTGAGGTCAACAAGTGACTGGAAGGCGTCCAGCAGCTTGGTGCCAATCTGCTTTCGGTGGCACGAATGGACATGATCAGCCTGCTTGTAAGGATCAGGCATCTGCAGCATTTCGTGGCACACTGGACAGGCACCATTGACTGGTCCTTCCCCTGGGTACCTGGACTGTGCGCGGGTAGGCGGACACACAGTCCGGAGTTGCTCCACTCGGGCTGCCCGTGACAGGGTCGATTTGGTGAAGAGCTCGTCGTAGAGCATCTTGCACTCAAGTCGCTGCGAATATGTCGGGACACACCCGAGTGCGAGCTTGGCCAGGGCTTGAGCTCGGTGGTCAGGTTCCCAGTCGGGTAAGGGAACATAGACATTGTAGTCGGCCTGATTGAGGTCGTGCTCTTCCTCGGCATCAGGCTCACGCGAGAATTCTGCGTCAACATCAGAGACCGCCGCCGCTTTGATTCTGGCTCCCTGTACAATGTCAGCCCCGGTAGAAACGCTGGCACAATTCTTGTGGGCCAAGAACAAGACTTACAGTAGCCGTTCGTGCTTCGGCAAACGCTTCGTCACAAACACGGTCCATCATGGCGCCCACCTCGAGTTGGAGTTCCTTCTTGTACAGAGACTCTCGGAGGCGTTGGACACTCTTACATAACTGTTCGTATCGTAAGTGAAGATCCGTGCCCGCAGCCTCGTAGATGAATGTATTTTGTTGGAGAATCTCCTTGCGGAGGTGTGCCGTCTTGTCAACGAGCTCGATTAGCTTTGGGTCAGAGTTGACCTTGAGGCGACCGGCTCGCGATAGTGTTGTTGGAGCGTCCTCCATGTACTGGAGACCGCGGATTGCAGCGGCCGCGTCAGCTCGCTCAGTCGACCCAGAGATCTTGCCGGCGATATCGACGGGGGTAGTTCGAGAAACGTAGGACCGTTCCGCGGCAGAGGAATTGTGAGTGTGGCCCGCTGTTGACTTGCTATGGCACCGAGCGATTGTTGGATCTTGGAGAAGATCAATGGCGAGGCGACGGAAGGCGCCCCAATGGACTCGGCCACCCTTGCCATAGTACCCAGCTGCGCGACCGATATTTTTAAGGGTAGTGTCGGATTGGCGATATGTGAACGGCTTGGTCGGGTGGACCTCGATCATGCCAGTCGACGAATGGACCAGAGTGCGACTGACGGGCTGCTCGCGGACTTCTGGTCGCAACCTCATGGGGAACCTACCGCCGCACTTGGCAATGGCAGACGGGGGAATGGCCTCCATTTGAAGCACGGATTCGAAGTCGACAAAAATCTTGTCGTCCAGAGCCAGCGCAAGCGTGACTTCGGACAAGTCGTACCCGATGACGCCTGCGCTGAGCTCGCTTACAACAAATCCCTTGCTGAACGTGTGTCAGTGATGGAATGATTGGGATGGAGAGCACCGGCAAAAACACCCACAAGACAGAGTCGTCATAGCGGGAACCTTTTAACAGCCGAGAGGTCCACAAGACACAATACTCGATCTTATTGTCGGCGCCCAACGTCAAGTAGTGCTCAGCATCCTGTGTGGTCAGCTGTAATCCTGACTCCCCCCGTTTTATTCCCTTCCTTCTTGCCCTCTCCCTCTTCTGGTACTCACTTTCCACTTGAGTGCGTCACCGTCAATATTGAGGTAGCCATTGTTGGCCACCACTTCTCCAGGTCGACACACGCCGTAGTTCACGGTCAGAAACTGGAAAATGAATTGATTGCGCTCCCGTGCACATTCCCAAGGGAATGACGATTCGTAAGCCGCCTGGACGAAGCGCTTGACGTCCCGGGTTGACGCCGTGGGCTTGGGCATCATCTCGGTGTGGAGGTTGAGCTGTTCGACAAGGTCGGTAGCGACATACTGCCTGGTGAGCAAGCGCACCTCGCAACGGCAAGCGACTTACGGCGGTAATCTGCTTGCGAAGTGATGAGGTAAACCAATTGTCTGTGGCTCGCTGGTAGGCCGAGATCATGATGGCCACGCGGCCTTGGACACTGAACTTGGACAGCGAATGATTAATCCGACCCTGGCCCGTCCGGACAGAGGTACAGTAGTGGATTGCGGATTTCCACTCGTCACATGTGAGCGGCCGCGCGCCGCGCTGCAAAAGATGTGTCCCCAGCCCTGCGAGTTTCAGATACTCCTCCAACCACGTGAGATTCTCGTTGTGACTGAGCTGGGTAAGGGGGCCGATGGGGAGCAAATGATGCTTGCCATCGTTCTGGGCGCGGTAATCAGCGATGCTTGCAGCAGAAACGCCCTTAGCGGCTGCCTTTTGTCGGATGCGCTCCGAAAGGCGGTCTTTGTCGGCAGCGACACGGGTCGCGTCGAGGACTGGCACGGCCGGCATTGTTTGGGGGTAAGGGGAGCGAGGTGCGGGGTGGGTTGAAAGGGTTGAGAGTAGAGCCGGCAAGGAGGTGTAAAGCAATGGCTAGGTCTGCGATGTGCGGCCACCAGTGACAAGGGAAGGCGGAACCGCCCTCCGCCCGCTGCTGAATAGCAAACAGCCAACCGGGCCCGCAACCTGGAGAGGAGTGTAACCTCAGATGCGCAATGGCTGGAGATGGGGAGAAGATTGAGAGGGAAGTAAGTAGGAAGGAGGTGGGACGGAGGTGGGACGGAGGTAGGACAGAGGTAGGATGGAGGTAGGATGGAGGTAGGATGGAGGTAGGATGGAGGAGGGATGGAGGTAGGATGGAGGAGGGATGGAGGTGGGTTGGAGTTAAGATGACGATAGGATGGAGGAGGGATGGAGGTTGGTTGGAGTTAGGATGACGATAGGATGGAGGAGGGATGGAGGTTGGTTGGAGTTAGGATGACGATAGGATGGAGGCAGGATGAAGATAGAATGGAGGTAGAATGGAGACGGGAATGAGAGATGCAAGGTGGAGAATTGGAGAGATGGAAAGATGGATCGGAAAGAGAGATGGAGAGATGGGGAGATGGAGAGATGGAAGAAGGTCAAGTACAAACACGGGCAGGGGAGTTGGATGGTGGAAGGAGCACGCGAGGAACCAAACGAATGCAAAGGGAAGTGGGATGGTGGAAGGAGCACGCGAGGAACCAAACGAATGCAAAGGGTTGATAGCCCTAGCGTCCATTGCATGGCAACACGAGGTTCAGCTGGTAGCGAAGAAAATTTGAGTGAAAATGGGAGCGCCGGGGAAGGATATCGATACCAGCCTTGCAGCCAAGGACATGTCTATATGTCTAAATGTCTTCTCTTGGGCTCTTGGAGAGACACGCCATGTGGCCCTCGCCGCCCATACGAAAAGTCAGTCGCGATAAACAAACTGATATCCGGGCCGGACCGGGCCGGTGACTATAGCCCACGTGGGTCCTTTGAGACCCCTTATCGATCCCAGCGCACGCAACAGGCTTCCCAAGATTACACCTACCTCGGCGGGCGCGCGTCGACGCCGGCCGCAAGGGCCTGCCGTCTTGGTCCACTAGCCTTATAGCCCAATCAATACACTCGTTTGAGACTTCGTCCGCGGTCTCCTGTATTTATCGTCATGCACTCTGCCGGACGATAACAGGGCGAGACTTCGTTCGAACGTCCGAAGTCACCATCCCGGCATTGCTACCCCAGTGAGGCAAGTGCGCTTTGTGCACAGTTATTCGTTCGAAGTGTCCGATTATTGGATAGATCCTAGAACTGATTCGCTTTGTACTGGTCCGACCGTTGCCTGTGAATACGGCCAGGGTCTCTTCCAGCTCGTCAGTGAGCGTTCCATCTCGAGGTCTGTCAAATACAGGAAACATCTCGTGGACTTCGCTACAGCTCTGTGAACCTTGCTATAACTTCGCGCACCTTGCTACGACTCTGCCTACATTGTTTTGAGAACTCCTTGACTGCCACTGGCGCCTCTACTCGTCGTTACTCTCAGTGACCCTCTCCTTCCCGCTGCGTGAACGCTTACGAGGGTCACTGGGCTCAGCGTCCTCGACGCCGCGCTTTTGCGCGCTATAACTCTCCTCGGGAGGTGCGCCACGCGGGTCTACATCATTTCCCTCCGAGAAATTGTCTTGGGCAACCTGGTTGTCAGCTCGACGACACCAGGGTCACATCTCACGAGACGACCGACGAGTTGGGCTTTTGTGCCCCGAACGCCGCCTGGTGTGTTCCTTGCTTGGCAAGCCTCTCGAAGGGCCTTGACTGTCCACTTGTCGTATGGTTGGTTGCATTGCCCCGCGGGAGGAGTAGTTGGTTTGTACCCTTTCAGGTTGTTCAAGTCGCCGTCGATGGTTTTAACCTGAGTGCCTCGGCCGCCATTGAGACGGTGCCCATGGAAGCTCATGTAATGCTCCGCCAGAGCCGTGAGGGTCATCGTGCCCTCACACGCAGGATATGCACAACGGTGGAGATCTTTTGGATTCAGTGCGCAAAGATGGCTGACGATGTGCGCGCACTGCTTCGGTCGATCGATGGTCTTGTAGACCCTCGTCTCGGGAGGGAGGTCGGGGGAGAATAAGCAGATGGGACAGAATGAGGGCGAAAGTTGGGCTGACATCTCTTGCGGGTCATAGCCGAGCAGACGGGGTGTGTCGCTAGTGAGGTGCGCAATTTCCTCAATGTGCCCCATGTTGTGGTCGACAATTGTCTTAGTGCCCAGCAGCCTGTGGTCAGCCAAGGGAATCGGGTCGTACTGACCAAGTTTCGCACAGCTCGCAAAACTGCAAGCAGCTAGGGGGATATGCCCCAGTCGATGCTAGTAGGCCGTGCGCAAACTCTCGATGAACAGCCTCTGTGGTCCGCGATGTTTCGGCACCGCAGACCCCTCGGGCGGTGCGAACCTTGCATGTCTGGTGTACATGCTTAGTTAGGTGTTTTGGCATGTTGGCAGCGGTCTGGATGGGGTCTTTGCAGCCATCGATTGGGCACGACGAGTGAATGGCGTAGGAGGCCGCGGCGTACTGTTTGCCCAAGTCTCGACCATGGCAGCCATGAATGTGACGAGAACGAGCCGTCGGCAGCTCGGCAGCGAGGTCCTCATCACAAAAGGGGCAACGGTCGGTCACCGCGTATGCGTGCCGGCTGGATGCGCGGCCGTGCAGGTCCACGAGGTCGGCAATCTGGGGCACCGCGGACGAGGACGCCGCCACCAGCTGGGCAGGCGAGGGACACGCGACGACGGTGACGGATGGCTCGATCTTGAGCGCTGCTGATGCGAGTTCGACACCTCGAGGATCAAGATGCTTTCCTAAAGGAACCGTCAGAGTTGCGATCGGGGTAGTGACCGGCGCGTAACGAGACGAGGAGGATGTCGAGAACGACGCCGGCGTAGCCACCGGAGACATGGTTGAGGCCTCGCGTGCGAGCTGCTCACGGCGGAGTTTCTCGCGAAAGTTGTTCGATGCGCGGCCGAGTTTGTCGTATTCCGAGTACAGTTGAGCAGTGGCCTCTGTCCGCCCAGCTGTAGGATCGACCTCCTTGATCTGCTCAAGGATACATTGGCGCTGGGCGAACATTTGGGCCACCTTCGGGTGCGTGTTGATACGGCTAATGCCCTCGTTGGAGATCTTGCGAGGGGCAAGGGCCACAGTGGTTGTTGTCGTTGATTTCACATTGACGCGCTGGAGACTAGCCCAGCCGATCTCATCGTTGACGCCGATCGTCCGTGCAAGGGAGCGCAGTTTGGAGATGCTCCGCGCATGCGAGAGCGGCGCATCCGATGGGGATTGCAAACCGGAGGCGTTGGGCTTGATATCACGTAACAGATAGGAGGTAGAGGCTAAGGTGACATGCTGCGATGTGCCCAGGGCAAGCGACGAAGCATGGTCAATGAGTTGACCAAGACAAGTGTAGTCTTGGAACACGCCATCCTCCAGAGCCATAGCGAGGAGGGGGTAGCGCGGGTCCATGCAGTTCGGGTTCGAAGGAAAGTCCAGCGCGATGGTACCAGTGGAGGGAAGGCGGGACTTCCCGAGCGAGATCTCAAGAGGACAGTCGGCGGTGGCATCGACCAGTCGAAACGAGAACTCCTGCAAGCGTGAGAAGAACTAGTAGTTTGTACTTACAGACCACTTGAGGGGGGAAACGCGCGCCTCTGCCCCACGCTGAGCGACCACGCGTGAGGGGTTACAAACGCCGTAATGGACCAACAGCGCGGTGACCAGGAACTGGCAGCGTTGCCGAGGGCACAGCCATGATGTATCCGCCATCGCGGATAAGACAAGCTGCTCTGTCTCTTTGAGGGAGAGCCGGCGCGAGTGAGTTGGCATGATTCCGGCAAAGCGAGTGGGGGAAGGTGATTACAAGAGTCGGAACCACACTCCGGCCAGCGACGAACACCGACACTTTAGACTGACGCTGGCACCAATATCAAGCGGAAGGCCAATAGATGGGGGAGTCGGGAAGGGGTTGCGGAGCTGATGGATACAAGTGGAGTAGGGTTGAACGGGCGAATGTGAGAACGAATGACAAAGAGGAAAGCAGTTAGGATGGTTGGCTGGTCGCATTAGCACGCAGCCCCGAAAGGAGACGTGTTATTCATTAGCGTGATAAGGACACTGACGGTATGGACACACGCGTCCAAAGTCCTTCCCTTGATTCCGCTCTCCATCTGGATCGCTGCCACATTGTTACCTTTGAATCCCGCCTCCTGAACGCCGTTAAAGTGGTACACCCACACCGAGGGTCACTTCCACGTGCGCGCAGTGTTTCGCTTCTCCGCACATTGCATTTCCGCTCGCTCGTCACTGCTACAACACAGAGACTGTTCACTCCGAGTGGAGAGCGGGGGCCTCGACACCCTTCGAGAGGCCTTTGCCGCCGGCGTAAATGGCGGCCTCGCCGAGCTGCTCCTCAATGCGAAGAAGCTGGTTGTACTTAGCCAGACGCTCTGACCTGGCCGGAGCCCCACATTTCGCTTCGCCTTTGCGGGTTAGCATCGTGCTGAAAGATGACGAGAAGGATGTGTTGGGTAGCAAGAAGGAAGAGGTGGGGCGTGGTGGAGGGAGGTGGAGGTGGAGGTGGAGGTGGAGGTGAAAATGAGAACGGAACCAGTCTCAGGCACCGATTCACATAATCGCACACGGGATCAAAACGGCAACAGAGAGAGGCCTTGGATTGTGACTCACCAGTGCGGAGACCAACCGACAGGTCGGCGATGAAGGTCGACTCGGTCTCACCCGAGCGGTGCGAGGTCATGACGGCCCAGCCGTTCGACTGCGAGAGCTGGACGGCCTGGATGGACTCGGAGATGGTGCCAATCTGGTTGATCTTAAGGAGAAGAGCGTTGCAGGCCTTCTTCTCAATGGCGGTCTTGATGCGAAGAGGGTTGGTGACGAGCAGGTCATCGCCGACGATCTGAATCTTGGCGGTCTGCATGTAGTGGGCCCAAGCCTCGAAGTCGTCCTCGTGGAAGGGGTCCTCAATCGAGCAGATGTCGTACTTCTCGCAGTAACCGTGGTAGAGCTCGGCGAGCTGAGCACCCGTGAGCCACTTGGAAGAGTCTGAGTTGGGGTTCTTGAAGTCAAGGTCGTACTTGCCATCCTTGAAGAACTCGGACGAAGCGACGTCAAGACCGATCTGGATCTTGCCAGTGTAGCCAGCAGCGGCAATGGCCTCGGTAAGGAGGTCAAGGGACTCCTCGGCGCCTGAGACGTTGGGGGCGAAGCCACCCTCGTCACCGACGTTGACAGCTGGCGTCAGGGGCGCACGGTAGCAAATTACTCACCGTCAATACCGTACTTCTTCACAATGACCTTCTTGAGGACGTGGTAAGTCTCCGAGCCCATCTTCATGGCCTCGGTGAACGACGAAGCGCCGGTGGGGAGGAGCATGAACTCCTGGAAGGCGAGGGCGTTGCCCGCGTGGGAGCCACCGTTGATGACATTGAACGAGGGGCAGGGGAGGATGTAGGGCTCCTTGACGCCTGCAAGCGAGGCAATGTAGGCGTAGAGGGGGAGGCCCGTGTCGGCAGCACCGGCCTCGGTAACAGCCATGGAGACACCAAGGATAGCATTGGCGCCGAGCTTGCCCTTGTTAGGGGTGCCGTCAAGCTTGATCATGAGGTCGTCGATCTCCTTCTGCGAAGTGACAGGGAGCTTGGACTCGACGAGGGCGGGGCCGATGATCTCGTTGACATTCTTGACGGCCTTGAGGACGCCCTTGCCAACGTAGTCCTTGCCGCCGTCACGGAGCTCGACGGCCTCGTGAGCGCCAGTGGAGGCGCCGGAAGGGACCTCGGCGTGGAAAAAGCCTAGTGTCAGCCGAGAGACGAAGGTTAAGGACGGTGGCGGCCAATGAGGAACATCGGGGGACGTTCTGAGCAGGTACTCACCCTTGTCGGTGTAGAGGTCAACCTGAACGGTAGGGTTGCGTAGAGCGATCAATCACAGGGAACAAAGAAATCGGCGCGCGAGGAAGCAAGGCGACGGAATACAGGAGACTAATGTCAGCATGGGGGCCCTCATCGGAAGATCCCGGTCAATAGGCAACCGGGAGCACCGCATCCCGCCCGGCTCTCGGATGGGTCCGAGAGGTCCGACGGGATGCATTGAAGTAGATACTCATCACGAGAGTCAAAGATCTGTAAGCAATGTCAGCGACTAGCAGAGCAATGGGTCGTGGGAGAGAGGGAGGTGCGAGGTGGCCTGGAGGGAAGTTGCGCGGTTGCTGGAGGAATGACGAATGACGTAGGACTTGGGACGTGGCAGAGACGGCGAAGGAGGTCGGTGAGAGATGGAGGGAGAACTTACCTGACGGGCGACGACCTTGTTGATGACAGACATTTTTGGATGAGAGTTGGAGGTGGTGAGGAGAGGAGAGGTGGAGAGAGAGAATGAGAGAAAGAGAGGAAGTGAAAGAGGAAGCGGAGGGCGGAGGAGGAAGGATGGAGAACGGGGGAGAATGTCATAGGCTGTATGTCATGTCATGGGAAGTCAACGTGGCTTGGGTGGGCGAGCTTGGGGCGCGTGCGGGCGCGCGACTTGACAGTCCTCGCTGCTGGCGGGTGCGAGTGTGCTGCCCGCTGGTTGGATGGCTGGGAACGGAACTCGACAACAGGGCCAAAAGTCATCGGGACATTCGGGGGTCCGCCCCTCCTTCCCAACTCAGGGGAGGAAGCGGCAATGGCATACATTTATTTGACACGTATTAATTTTGGGCGGGGACCCCTCGTTGTGATTCGGCAATGGCATCAACAGCCAATGACAACGAACTCGCATTGCCGAGCCGCAACACAATCTGTGTGCCTCGGTGCGCCCGCGCGCACCTGAAGGGCGCGTTGTTGCAATGGGGTTTGCTCTCGCCCACACTGCGCACCCGACTCATCGCCGACCCCACCATGAGGGGCCCTTGGGCCGCATAGCTCAACTCTTACTGGTCCACCTCGCCATTGCCGCACCCCAAGCGATAGACCCATCCACGTTCCGCTACTTATCTCGCCCCACCTCCGCTCCTCATGCTCCTCTTATCAGCCGTAGCTATGAGGCAATGCGTTTCCTGTGGTCCAGCAAGAGGGTCATCGCCCAGCAGTCCAGCAGGCCAGCAGCTAGCTAGCCATGCTAGCATATACTAGCCTGCTAGGCTGAGGCGCTGAGGCTGCTAGGAGCATGGGATTGCACGGTCCGTGATCGGTGTGCGCGCGCGTAGAATACGCGGTATGTGCGAACATTTTGCTTCTCGCCGCGATCGCCTCGATCGGCAGGAGGGCTGGAGATTCTCTCGCGCCTTCCGCGCCTTCCGCGCCTTCCGCAAGCCGCAAGCTCGCAGGCCTTTCGAACAGCTGAGCCTCGCATCATTCACATACGGCATTCATCCTGGCCACACCTCGAGCTCTCCGGCACATCGGCATGCTTCTGTGATCAGCATGGGAGGTGGCATGATCGGTCCTGTTACACGCCCCTCGCCGGCCTCGCCCCAGCCGCTCCGAGCCGCTCCTCGACCCACACAATGTCCAACACCGCGGAACTGTTAATCCTCGAGCGCCGGACGCCATACTACGAGCCGTTGTCCGCTGATCCGCTGACCGTTGGACGCTAGAGGAGGAGAGTGGCCGGATCCGTTAACAACGCCCACCAAAGCGACAGGTTCGTGAATACCTGTGATATAGCTGTGATTAAATGAGTTCGGCTCACTGGTCCATGGTACCATGGTCCAATGGGTGTCAACGTGCCTGTGCATGATCGCATGATCGCGCATGAGCAACTACGGCATCGCCTTCTCGTCACGTCGGCACACTGGTCGCGCACAGCTTTTGCATCACCTATTACAACTGTGGTCGGCCTTGTCAGCCCATGCCAACTGCAGATCGCTGCAGAGTGGAGAGTGAACATGACTGGTCATTAGGTTGATGTGAGATCGCGCGATATCCCAGCACCAGTCGCCCGGAAAAGTGGAAGCGGAATGTGATCTGTGATCGTGTGATCAAAATAATGAGATTATGAAGGTTTCGAAAGCAAGCCGCTAGCCGTTCATGCCACTCGCGCCGCTCATGCCGCTCATGCCGCTCATGCCGCGCATGCCGCTCAGCCGCTCAGAACAACTGGATCTGCTTCGGCAGAGGACGACCTCCGTTCGCGCCATTCGGCCGAGCAATTGCGCATGAATGGACGTCCGCCCGAAGATCTTACTGAAGTCGATAGAATTGCCAGGGCTGCAGCATACACGGGTCCATCAAATATTGGCTGGCATGTTACATCGCTGGCTGCACTCATACCCTATCGATCCCTTCCAAGCTTCTAAGTGATCTTGTCCGATGTCAAAGATGTCAATGATCAATGAGGGAGTGAATGTAAGTGCGGCATGTCATCCCTGCCCTTACCACAACTGGGGCGATAATGCGGCTGATGTGGTTCTCCTTTCGCAGTTGCCCGCGGCAAGAATTGGATTGACAGCTCTGTAGTTATGCAGTAGAGTCGATCTGGGGACATTCGAGTTTGTTTGTCACAGATCACATATCCAGGCATGTACAGTACATGAAAGCGATGTATGTATGTTATCAAGGATAAGCTACGTCAAGACTTGCAGTTAGCGTTTCGAGCTTTGGCTCATGGCTCGATCATATTCTTGCCATGTTTGCGAGCGGCTGAGCAGGGTGCGGTGGATTGACACCGTGCCCGCGTACCCGGGTAGAGTCATGGTCTAATCCCTGTCGCTTGGCACGTTTGAGCGTGATTTCCCTCGTGATCCCTGGCTGTCTCGGGCCCTTTTGCCCTTAATATCTAGGTACTTGGTAGCTTGGGGGTGATTTGGTCTGCAGGCCTGCAATGCGTGCAATGGGCCTGGATGGAATGCCCTTGCATGCCTTGCAGACTGCAGACTGCAGACTCGATAGATCAAGAGCTCGATCTCTTCCGCTTGGCCGCTCGCCGCTTGGTCTCAAAGCCTCGACTCCTCGGTCCGTGCTCGGTCGATCATATCAACTCTGCGTGCCCAACTACTCGTCATCAGGGCCTCACCTCGTGGGTGTTGCTCGCTCGCAGAGATGCATTCCACCAGCCACTGGCGTAGCTATCAATATCAGTAACATGTATTCCATCAAGTCCCATGCACGTAGTACGCATTTCAATCAGTCCGAGTTCGTCTCATTGCGTTCCGGTACCGTATCTGGCATTGCGGCCTTGTCCACCGTCCCATGTTCTTCTGCCGAGCTGCCGCTTGCTCCTCCCTTGATGCCTTGGTATCGCTGACTGTAGCCTGACTATGTAGCCTGACCCGGCTAGGCTCGGCACCCCGACCTCGCGCCTGATGACTTACTTGGCTTGCATGGCCCAGGCCTGGATGATTTGCTGAGCGCTTCTGTGCGATCTCCCATTCCCTATCTCAATACCCTAGCTCCCCTAATAGCACCCTTGCTCGGGCTCCTTGAAAATTCCTTGCGCCTTTCCCCTGGATCCTTGGAGCCTTGCTTCCCAACTCTACCAACGAGCATGCCAACTGCCGCACCTAGCCTGGCTCTTCTCTCGCGCCGTTGCCGCTTGCCGCATGTCATCATTAGCGAACCCTTGCCGATTACCCTCATTTGTATTGGTAGCCTAATAGTGCAGTTGCGGCCTCCTCAAGACCTGTCGTCGCCTTCTCACATCTCATATCTTCCGCTCTCACATCCTCCTCACCTCTTCATCACCACCACTCGACGATCGACGACTATTTCCAAGTGCGACCACCACATCCCCCACCGCCTCCCATTGCCTCATCCACCATCGCCCTATTCACCATCCACTCGAAATGGCAGACCCAGACATAGCGCGTCGCATCCCTTCCCCCACCTCCACTCTTCCCCTCCCTCGTGCCCTCCGGCACAGCAAGTCGTTCACTCAACTCGCACGCTTCATTGGCTTTTCCTCCTACGACCCCGATGATCGACCTCTCACCGACTCTGGCAGCGACGCCGGCGATGAGCCCGAGGACTGCCAAGCCTCACCCATCGATGACGATCAAGAGGTTGACGACGAGTCCCTTATGTGGGACGCTCAGGTATGTTACCACCTCCTCCCCCCCAACCCCCGGCAACCGTAGCTAATGAACAGACTGCCCTCATTGCACATCAGCCAGCTCTGGCCGCAAAGTACTATGCTACTGCGGCGCTCCCTCCGTACTCATCGCCGGCTGCTTGTCTCGCACTTGGAAATCTATTAGCCCGCGGCTCCGGACTGGCCAAGGCCGAAGATTCCCCGCAGAGCTCCATCGCCAAGCCTCCGACCGACACCTCCCGCTCTTGGTTTGCGTCATTCTTCCGGGCTGTACCAGCACCAGCACCTGCATCTGCACTTGCTCCTGCTCCTGCTCCTGCTCCTGCTCCTGCTCATGCTCATGCTCCTGCTCCTGCGTCTGCATCTGCATCTGCATCGGCGCCCGTCGAGTCTCCTCAAGATGTATTCCCTACTTCACGAACTTCTCGCCTGTCTTCGAATGGTTGGGAGTTGCCCAAGGACGGGAAGCGTGTCGTGCGCAATGTTGAGGCCATGGGCAAGGCTGCTGGCTGGCTCGTCCTTGGCGTTGGACTCATCCTCGAATCCGAAGCTGGCCGGATCTTCAAGGCTGTTGAGCGCCCGCGCAAGAACAGTGAGGAAGATGGCGCTGTTGTCTTCGACTCGAAGGGCAAGGGTCGTGCCCGCTCGCACAATAACCTCGGTGAGGCCACCAGCCATGGTTCTGTTGGTTCGATGCCTTCAGGCTTCAGTTACGCGCCATTGAATGAAAATGACAGAACGACAGCTGTAAAACGAGTCAAGCTATTGGTAAGTTGCTCCTCGATACACTGAGTTACGCTGATTCCCAGTATGATCTACTCACCCCGCTCGTTCAGATGTACCGTCACGGTCACATTCAGCGGCACGACCCCGTCGCTCTTCCCCCTATCTCCCATTCGCAGCTCCCCCGCGCCCTCAATCCCAAGGGAGATAAGGAAAGAGGACGTAACGCGTGGCACCTAGGCTCCGCAGTTGCGAGTATGCTTCTCGACCTGCCACTGTTGTTGTCGACACCGAGCCTGGGAAAGGAAGCAAATGCTCGTCGACAGGGTGTCCTTATCATGGCCAACTACATTGTAAGCGGCACCCGCGGACTGACACTGATCCACAGCGTGGTGTCACCTCTTCTGCTGAAGTCTCCGAAGTGTGCTTCAAAAATGTCATCCGCATTGGGCCATGTGGCTTAGACCTTCCTGACGACCTTATACGTCAAGCCTTCCGCCGCCTCAAGAGCATACTGAAGACAACTGGCGGCTCACCTCTGTCCTCGAGCGACGCCGACTCGTTCCCATTCCCGCCCACACCTGGCGAACCTCGACGCCGGGAGTCAAATGCCTCCTGGGTGTCGGCAGTTGACAGCAACATGACAGCGTCTCTACGCCTTATGTCCCCCGTCAAGTCTAGTGCCTCTCTGGCGTCCTTAGCCTTTGACAGCCCTGTTATGGAGACAAACCATAGTGCCTTCCGGCAGGGCGCGCTGAGTTCGCTTCGTAACATCCAGCAGTCACAGCATCGCGCCCAGCGCGCTCAAGAGCCGCCGCCTTCGACCCCCAAGCAGCCGTGGTGGCCCCCTCTCGAGAGGTGGTCCATGGCCGCTTCTCGCCAGGTCGTGCCCCGGACGCCCAGTAATGAGTCCGAGCAGTGCCCGACGCGTCCTCGCGAGTTTGAGTCGGTCAAGACCGAGGTCAAGAAGCCGCAGCTGCGAATCATTGCGTCTTCGCCGCAGCTCTACCATCAAAGTCCAATGTCGCCGACCTCTCGCCGCCGGCTACCCTTTGAGCCCAAGGAAGCAGTTGCCTCCATCGACCCCGAGCTGGCAGCCCTGGAACTTGCCAGCGCGCTCACAAAGCACGTGCAGTGCAGCGTCTGCGGTGCGGACGGTGTCAACTTTCCCAACTGTCGCAAATGTGGCCTCACCTTCTGCTCCCGCCCCTGCCGCATAAATGAAACAGGTGCAGGCAATGGCAAGCGGTAAGCGACCGTCACGATTGATGCTGACCTCTCTAGTCACGTTTGTGGTGCTTGGGAGTCCCGCAAACTCTTAGCTCCCCCGGGCCAGGTCAGTTATACTCCTCAGCCTCCCGTCTCCGCGTGAAACAAGCACCATTCGGCGATCGGAAGCGTTAATCTTTGTAAACCCTCTTCCCTTCGATCAATACCATAGACTGTTGTACTTGTCGTGACATTCTTTACATCCACATCGTCTCATTTCATGCATACCTGTAACCTGGGGTAAACTGGGCGCAGCAGAGGCGACCGTACGTCTCGAGACGACGGCGCAATGCAGGTTCTATTTTTCGAAGTCACAAGGCCCTCTCACTGCTCCTCGCCGATGGAAGGGCCCTGCTGCAAAGGGAGTGGGCAGTCCTCGATAGGCTCAGCCTGCGCCCGTTTCTCAGCGAGGAACACAGTGTGGGTGTCCCTTTACAATGCGTTCCGTAGCTGCCCGAGAATCTGTGGCATGGACTGTCCTTTTGATTTGATAATCAATGCAGGTAGAGCAGATTGACAGCGTCTTAAGCATTTGATCTTTCCCGTTTCGTCCTTCTTATCTAGGCACTCCACGTTTGAAACAGATGCGTACCAGACAGGCCAGACGTTGGCAGAGCTCCAACCTGACAGCACAGGTGACACGAGTTTAGGCCATGTTAGTTTGTCCCGAGAGCGATTCACTCAGCGCAGGCGACCAAGCGAAGTAGGTGAAATCGTCTTTTGTGTCGTGTTCACGGCGATGAACGTTGTAGACCATCGACTGGGACCTACTCAGTGAAAGATGAGGACTGAAGTCTAGCGCATCTGCTTCATGCATCAGACGTGGCCATCCAAGGATGCCTCGGTCCGTCGATCTTAGTTGGATCACAATCGGGTTCCAGGCTGCAGTCTGAGGCGAACACCACCCCCAAATAGCGCCTGTCTCCTACGTGACTATACTGTGCACATGTGTGCATCGGGTGCGGATCCTCGTTCTGTCTTTCACCTGACGCTGGTTGACAAGATTGTGCTCAGAATCACCAGTGAGTGGCGTTGGAATTACGAGGGCCACACCGCCGTGCGGATTCAGATCACGAGAGGTGTATCTGACTGTCGATGAAGCTGGAGCTTTGCTTCGTTCGTCATGGAAATGGTGGCACCCCAATGTGCTCGGCACATATGTGTTACGCATCATATGCAAGTCGCTGCGGCAGACCAGCCGTTGATTTAGAGACGATGCGGTACTCGGTGACTGATGCAGTATGGTGGCGACGCAGTGAAGCCACAAGATCAAGGGTCGCCTTGCACTTCAGCCACCATCAACCATACGCGTGAACGCGTGCCGTTGGATCAATGTTGAAGGACACGCACCGTTTTGCCACCCAACACCCACATCACGTGACTGCCCTGAACGGATTTTGCAGTCGACACTCGACACGCTCCTCTTGACCCACCCAAAAGCTGTTCTCTTTCCCCGCACATCTTAATTCCTCTCTTGTATCCCTCCTCCGGTCTGGTTCTCGACACCGTCCAAGGGTTACTCAGTGGCCTAGCAACTGGTGAGGACTGGCCGTGTTCTTGAGAGGAATAGAGCTCACGCTCGCGTTTTCTGCCGCACTCCGCACGCGCCGATCAATGAATACCTTCTCCGTCGCATCCGCACCTCTGCTGTACAATATCGTTTGCCGCGCATCGTGCACCTCAACGCTCGCTTGCATCTGACTAAATACGTTTGGCAGCGCAGTCTTTCCCAATCAAACTGCACACTCAGAAAAGTGTATGTTGTGTTCCACTTTGTGCTTTGGCTAACAAGTAAGAGAGACGGACGCCTATCGACGAATTTGCATTCTCCACATTCTCCGCACATCCTCGAATCATTCACTCGAGCCAGCACCATGGTCAAGTATATCCTCGTTGCCGGCGGTGTCATCTCGTATGTCCCACCATCAGGGCGCACGCTCCCATGCTAACCGACAGCGGTATTGGCAAGGGCGTCATTGGTACGTAGCTTCAAGTCACCGGGATGTCTCCTAACCTCAGCCTCGAGCACTGGCCTCCTTCTCAAAACTGCCGGCTACAAGGTCACCTCGATCAAGATCGACCCTTACATGAACATTGACGCTGGCACCATGGCTCCCACTGAGCACGGTGAGCTTGTGCTCGGTTTGAATTGACGCCAGGTGAGGTGTACGTACTCAACGATGGCGGTGAGACCGACCTTGACTTGGGCAACTACGAGCGTTATCTCAATGTTTCGCTCGGCAAGGATAACAACGTTACAACTGGCAAGGTGTACTCCCACGTCATTGAACGCGAGGTTAGTCCCTTCCCACAACATGTCAATTGACACCAGCGTCGCGGTGACTACCTTGGCAAGACGGTCCAGATTGTGCCGCACCTCACGAATGCAATTCAGGATTGGATTGAGCGCGTGGCCAAGCGCCCCGTCGACGAGACTGGCGAGGAGCCGGATGTGTGCATCATCGAGCTTGGCGGCACCGTCGGCGACATCGAGTCGGCGCCTTTCATCGAAGCAATGCGCCAGTTCCAGTTCCGTGTTGGCCCCGACAACTTCGCGCTCATCTACGTCTCCCTCATTCCTGTCATCGGCGGCGAGCAGAAGACAAAGCCGACTCAGGCTGGTGCGCGTGAACTCCGTGGTCTCGGTCTGAACCCCGACCTGTTTGCCTGCCGCTGCGAGCTTCCCCTCCAGGCCGCTACCATGGAGAAGATCGCCATGTTCTGCAACGTTCCCGCCAAGCAGGTCCTCGGCGTTCATAATGTCAGCTCGACGTATCACGTCCCGCTGCTGCTCCGCGAGCAGGGTCTTGTCGACTTCCTCAAGGGCCGACTTCAGCTGAGCACGATACCCGTATCGCCTGCGCAGAAGAAGAACGGCGAGCAGCTCATGACGCGCTGGCGTGACATGTGCGTTAGCTCGGAGCGCTTCTTCGACCACGTTGACATTGTCCTGGTTGGCAAGTACACCACGCTTGAGGACTCGTACATGAGTGTCGTCAAGGCTCTCGAGCACGCGTCAATGCGTTGTGGGCGCACCCTCAAGCTTCACGTAAGACCAATTCTTCCACATGAACTGACCACAGTGGGTTGACTCGTCGGATCTGGAGGCCGAAATGGAGACTGATGATCCTGTTCGCTACCATGGCGCATGGAGTGCGCTCTGTTCTGCTAAGGGTATCATTGTGCCCGGCGGTTTCGGCGTGCGCGGGACTGAGGGCATGATCACGGCTGTCAAATGGGCGCGTGAGCAGAAGGTTCCCTTCCTGGGTATTTGCCTCGGCTTCCAAGTTGCTGTTGTCGAGTGGGCACGCAATGTATGCGGTCTTGGTGGTAAGTTGTCACAGCGCGTCCAGAGGCTGACATCAGGCGCCAACTCTGCCGAGCTGTCCAAGGACACACCCCACCCCGTCATCTGCTTCATGCCCGAGATATCTAAGACGCACATGGGTGGCACCATGCGTCTCGGTCTCCGCCCCACCATCTTCGAGCCCAACACGGAGAAGTCGAAGCTGCGCCAGCTCTACGGCGGTCACAAGATCGCATGGGAGCGCCATCGCCACCGCTACGAGGTTGAGCCGCAGTACGTTGAGCGCCTTGAGGCTCCAGGGCAAATGCGCTTCATCGGCAAGGACGAGCGCGGAGAGCGTATGCAGATGCTCGAGATCGAGGACCACCCCTACTTTGTTGGTCTCCAGGCCCATCCCGAGTTCTGCTCGCGTCCCCTCAACCCCTCGCCCCCCTTCCTGGGACTTATCGCCGCTGCATGTGGCGGCGGCATGCTGCATGAGCAGCTCGAGGCATCAAAGACTTATGTGGACCCCCACCCCGAGAGCGCCAAGGTTGTTCCGGCAAGCGAAGCTGCTACCGAGGGCGCCAAGGGCCGCACACAGGCGATCGAGGGTCTCCGAGTTGGGGAGGAGGAACAGGTAGTCAACGGAGTTTAGTTAGAGAGTTTGATGGATGTCATGGTCATGTTATACGATCTCAACTGCGTCGTTCCAGAGTGAGAATCGGGTATGTTGATGAAGTTACATTGAGAAGTACACAACGGGGCTTAGGAGTCTCTGACCTTGCGGAGGGAGAGCCCGGTGGCGAATAAACAGCACGAGATATGGCGAGTGATATGAGGGAGTGGGCGGTGCCAGACTAGCAGCCACCAACTTCTGGCACGTCAGCGGCACGAAGCGCGGCAACTCACGCTCAAGCAACACCTCAAGGACATCGCCGTCCTCCATCTCCAAGTCCTCGGCAGTCTGGTTGTCGAGGATACGCGTGCCGTCAAAGAGGAGGCTATTGTCAGCATGCTGCGTGGACAAGGCAATGCCTACCGGATAGCAGCAGGATCCTGGCCCACGCGGTCAGCGTAGGCGGTCTGCAGTCAGTCCTGGACACTCTCAAGCCCTCACTTTAAGCTTGTTCAGCTTGGTAGTCTTCTTGATCTTGAAGAAGACCTCAGACGAGTCTGTCGCACGGATCTTGATGTTGAGAGTGTTGTCGTCTGGCTTGGGCTTGGATTCGGCGTTAGGGGAGGCGTGCTCGGACATTGTGTAGAAATGGATCTGCTTGTGAGGGCAAGAGGGAAAAGCTGCGAATGAGTGAGAGGATGAAAGTGGAAGGAGAGTGCAATTGGGAGATTGACAAGAGGGAGAACAGCCGCCCATCAACCAAGGTCATCATGTCGCGCCCTGCCTTACAATCGGTGTTGACGAGGATCACGGTGGACGATGCGGATCTGCCACGCAGACCCAACTCCGTAATTCCGCTTTTTCCACGTGATTCTCGCGTGTATTGCTATGAGTCACCGCGAAGACTGAAGACGCATCTGCGCCTCGGCTGTCGAGCGGGTTGCCTTATTAGCTCATCTGAAAGTAGTTCAGTCACCCTCCTTCTGCGATCCATCCTCCCACCCACATGTCCGCATAAACAACATCAACGAAACAACAACCTCACTCCATTCACTGTTCTCCCAGCTGTCTCTACTCCGGAGCCGACGCCACGCAGGTCTTGGCCCCTTCTTAGAGTGCATCCCGCATCCCTCTTCTGTGCTTTGCCAGATATCCGCCAGGGCGTTCAATCACCTCACTCGGTCAGATCGAGGACCACTGGCCCCATTGCGTTAACATCTGCGTACACCCTTACGTGTGCAGTTGCGGCGTCTCCTCTCTGTCAAGGCCAGCCGTCGCAACTACCCCATACGACTCTGCTTGCTCCGTTGCTGCGTCCTTAGTCTCGCCGCTTGCGTTCCCAGGCCGGTGCGTCCCGTCCTGACCCCGCATCTGCATGCTTATCACCTCCACCTCCACTCCGATTTCTGCGCTCTATCCAATCTCCGCCTCCACAGCGTCACCGCATTGAACATGCCGCGTCGGGGCGTGCAACCCGCTGTGGCTGCGCCCCTACCCCCGCCTCCGCCATCGCCCAACGTGCAGCGCTTGCGACAGGATTGGCGGTGGGCAGGCATTAGCCAGTTCGTGTGGACGTTCTCTGACGCCTTCGGACTTGTCGACTGGGACATCGAGGTGAGCCGGAGTATGAGTAGTCGGCTGACTGCAGACTCTTGAGCACGATTTCGACGGCACTGAGACTCAAGTTATACCCGATCTCATTGCAAAGATGCTTTACGCACTCACATGGAATCGCCAGATAAAGTAGGCCATGCTCCCAAAGGAACGCTGCTAACACCAGTCGCGACAACGCCTTCGAGCACCTTCACAAGCAATGGCTCAAGAGAAATCCCGAAACGAACCCTTTTGGTTCACTCGACGAACCGATCACCTGGCACGCCTTGGGATTGTCCCAGAAAGTGGAGGCCCTCTGGCAACTTACTGAATGGCAACTCGCAGACCCGACTCGATTGCGCTCCCTTCTCAAGACTGAGGACGACCCAGCTTCTTGGCGCGTCGACCCCGTTGGGTGGGACAAGGCAGGTAACACCTACTACTTGTTTGATGGTGGGTTCGGACTGAGACGTCGCTTATATGTAGATAATCGCCTTTGGGTTCAGCGTCCGCGGCCGCAGCCGCCGCGCCCTCCAAAGACGACTTCAATCAAAGCTAAGCGCAGCCAGCGCTCTGTCAAGCGCTCCGACGTCTCTTCTACAAAATCACATAAGAAGAGCGCTCCCAAGGAGATTGCGACCGCCGAGCCAGATGTAATGTCCGAAGAAACGGTTTCGGGACCTAGGAAACGCACGCAAGTTAAGTTCTACGGCAACGTAACGCCTACTGTTGAGGCCTTGAGGCGTGGCGGCCCATTACCTCCAACCCCTCGCTCAAGCCGCACCACAAGAAGTTCGGCTCGTACTGGCCCAGTACCAACTTCTACTTTCTCTCCACTCAACTCGCCATCCCAGCCTCCTCCATTGCCGCGCGGAACACGCGTTAGCCGCCGCCTCCGCAATGTAGACGACGAGTGGCAGCAAATTCCAGACGAGTGGTTGCAGCCTACCACCAAATCAAGAGCTGTCGAGCAGATCGCTTCCGAAAGCGCCGCGCTCAAGCTTGCTGACGGGGATGAGAGCGATCTGTCTGATTTGACGGACGAAGAGGAGCATCAGGCAGAGCTCCAGGCTACTCAGGCAGCGCGGATGGATCGCCCAAAGGAAGACTCGCCCTTGTCGGAACCGCCCGAGCCTTCCACTCCCCCAGATATTCCTGTCGATGTTGCGGACGATGCCTACCATTCTGAGCCTGGAGATGTCGATCAGGAGGAGGAGCCCGGGCGCGACTCCAGCGGTGAATTCGTCAAGGAGGACCCGGACGAGGTCGTGGCACATGAGCCGGAAGGCCATGCCAAAATAGATGCTTCAATCGACGAGGGGACCACGTTATCGAAGACCAGCAACGAGCTATTGAACTTCGAGGGCGGCCCCTTGGATACTGACATTACCTCGGCCAACGAGGGCGCGGTTGACGAGAACGCCGACAAGGATGTAAAAACCATCACTTGTTTGGCCGGGCCGAGTGACGGAGCTGTCGCGGCGGACCAAGAGGCCGTAAAGGTGGAAGAGCCCACCGAACGGGACGAAGTTAAACTCGCTGCTCGGGAGGCAGCAAGTGTGCCTGCAGGCTTCATCGAATGGGAAGCTGTAAGTCTCACACGCCTGTAATACGGACGGGGCTGACGGCGAAGGTTTGCGTCACGCTCTACGACTGGAGGACGTGGCCGGAGCAATTCGCCAAGTCTCGCGATCCAGATGAAAAAGCTCTTTATAAGCTCTTAGTGAACGACGTCGCGCCTCAAATTATCGAAGGGCTGATGGTGAGTCATCTAAATCTCTCTGGTCACTGAGATTGCAGGCCAAAGAGCAGGAGCGCCTCAAACAAGAGGCCATCAATAACCGCAAGCGATCATCGCGTATCGCCACCCGTGAGCTCGCGCGAGAAGAGGAGCTGCGTCGAGAGCAGGCGCAGCGCGAGATGGAGGAGCGAATGGAGCGCGTGCGACAGGAGGAGGCCGCTCGAGAAAGGGCCCAGGCCGAGGACCTCGCGCGCGAGCAACGACGCGAGGCGAGGTTGCGTGAACGCGAGGAGCGACTCGCTAGCCGCGAGGCTGCCATCCTCGCCCGCGCTGAAGCCGAGGCCATGGAGAGGGAGCGCGCTGAACGGAGGAGAGAGCGCCGTAAGCGCCGCCGTGACGGTGAGGACATCGAGTCGTCATCTGAGGATGGCACTTCTTCGCGTCCTCTCACACGGCCACAGACGCCGAACATGGGCGACAACTCTTTGGGCCAGGACGCCTCAAGTGCGCAGTCTTGGGAGCTCAAGTGTGAAGTTTGCAAGCGCCAAGGCTGGAATCTGTCCGATGATGACGACGTTGTGTGTTGCGATGACTGTGGGCGCTGGCAGCATGTGAAATGTCACGATCGTAAAGACCTCGCCGCTGGTTTCGGCATCCGCGATTGGGACAAGGTCGACTTTCGCTGCTCGGAATGTGAGGCACGCAAGAGCAAGCGCCCGCGTGTCGAGAATATTGCACCTCCCCAGGCGAACGGCGGTCGCCAACATGTCCCTCCCGAGAATGGGTCGAGTGGTGCCCTCGGTTCATCGCACGCCTCAATCACTTCCCGCGAGGATACGCATGTTCCTCGCACCCATGGCTATCACCCCTTGCATGCTCTGCCAAACCCGCAACATCAACATCCTTCCCAAGGCTTTCCGCATGCTGCCAATGGCAATCCCTTGCGGCCCGTCGCTGTCTCCCAGCACGTCGCTGCTTTCTCGCATGTGCAGCACTCGCACCACCAGCGCCAGTACCTCCAAGATTCCCATCACCTGCCGTCGCCCACTCTATCGCATCACCCGCACACCTCGCCCCAAGCGAGATACCATTCAACTCCCCAGCCTGCCCCACCGTTTGCACATCGCGCAGATCAGCCGTCGTTGGGTCACATCTCGCCGCACCCCGGCTCCCGTATGCCTCTGTACAGCGAGCCTCACCTTCAGCAGGGGCAGCCTTTCCGCCCAGTGTTCGCGGCCTATCAACGAGAAACTCGTGACCCGCGCGTTGACCATCCGCTGGGCCCGCACCGCCAGCAGCCACAGCAGCCACAGCCGGGCGTAACCTTCCACCGTGATTACTCCATGCCTAACGGGGATGGGCACGTGCCGCAACATTATGGGTATCACAACACCTCCCCCACCTCTCAGACACATCCGATGCCGCCACAGCCGATGCCGTAATCAAGCACCGGAGACACCACCAACTTCGGTATTGTCATATTAGTCATATTGACCCGATATGCAGCTCTTCCACAACGTGCCCGAAAGAGGGGTCTGTAGCGGATCGTACCTCTGCGAGTAGCAGTACCTCATGATGTGTATCTGCAGCACTACATATATTGAGCTCAACTATCTCCCGCGCCTTGTCTCTCTCAACCGCCACGCTTGTCATAAGCGCATCCTTTTCACTCATCCCCTCTCTTTCTCCTCTGCTGACCTTGCGGGTCTTATATTCAATTACTGAGGGTAGAGGACAAGAGGGTGGCTCCAGGACTTACTATGTGGCGGTGGCGTGTGGCGGTGGCGATTCAATGAACTTTGACCTGGCAAAGTTCAACAACATCAGCACCGCCCTGATCCCTGGGTCGTCATTGCCTTGATAAAACGCGCGCGGTCAAGGCAGTTCCCAGATCCAAGTCCCCATCCTCCATCGATATTAAGATGACCGCCAACCTAGCCCCCACCCCATGCTGTGATTGTGGGCGCCCGTATCCAGCTGGCGTCAAGTTCGAGACGTGCAAATCGGCTCCCTTCTTTCCCGAAGTGAGATAGGACCCCTCTCATCTGCACACGTACTAACCACACCAGGCGCGCGACACGATCAAAGCAGCGCTGGCTAAATATGACGCCGAGCTCAACGCCATCTCGGACTACATTCACGCCAACCCGGAGCTTTGCTGGAATGAGACAAAGGCGCACGCACGTCTTACCTCGTTTCTCTCGGGGGAAGGCTACACCGTCGAGGGCTTCGACCAGTACCCTACGGCCTTCAAAGTGTCCTACTCGCGCGGCAATGGACGTGTCTTCGGTCTCAATTCGGAGTATGACGCTCTGCCGGGCATTGGGCACGCATGTGGACACAACCTGATTGCCGTGACGGGCTTGGGCGCGTTTCTTGCCATTCGGGCAGCGATGGACGCTCATGATATCAGTGGTACCGTCACGCTAATCGGCACACCCGCCGAAGAGGGCGGCGCGGGCAAGTGTGCCCTCTACGAGGCGGGTGCGTACAGCGGCATCGGCGCCTGCATGATGCTTCATCCAGGTCGTGGGCTGGAGCACGTTCAAACGAGCGGCACCGTCATCCGCTCGTACGCACTCCAAGGTTTCGATGTCGAGTATAAGGGCAAGCCCGCGCATGCTGGCCTGTCGCCCTGGGAAGGAGTGAATGCTCTCGACGCCGCAACGACGGCATATACTGCCATCTCAAGCCTTCGCCAGCAACTTACCCCCGATACCCGAGTGCAAGGCGTGATCACAGATGGAGGGTCGGCTGCAAACGTCATTCCGGACCGTACGGCGCTGTCGTACATTGTGCGCACCAACACTGCCAAGCAGCTCAGTACGACTGTCCCTCGCGTCATGGCATGCTTTGAGGGTGCGGCCACGACGTCGGGATGCACTGTAAGCACCAAGACTAGCCACAAGCTCGACGAGCTGCGTAACGTCGAGGCGCTTGGGGATGAGTACGCCCACGTCATGATGGATATGTTTGGGGACGCGCCGGGTGGTACCCACATTGAGCTTGCGTACGGCGAGACCATGGGCGCCAGCACCGACTTCGGGAACATTACCCATCTCCTTCCGGGGTGCCACCCCATGTTTGGCATCCCCACGGCGCCGGGCGCGTTCAATCACATGCCTGAGTTCACCGCTGGTGCCGGGTCCAAGGCGTCCTTTGACGAGAGCATGAAGCACACGGCTGCAATGGCCGCCGTTGGGGTGCGTTATCTCCTTGACGAGAAATTCGCAGACTCAGTCACTACCGGCTGGACGACAATGATGGAGAAGGTTAAGAATGAGTAGGGTCAGAAATGAGTGGGCTTAGTTCGGACTATAAGAAGATGCATGTCACTCTCACCGGAAATCACTTTGTCAGGAAGTAGTATATCGGGAACTCTTGAGCCTGTGCCGCGTTGAGTGATCTGGCATGTAACTTCTAACGTCAACACCTCAGGTCCTGCACAAGCCATGCACAAGCCACATATACAAGTTTCTACTTTACAGCTTGTGGGCGGCACCCTCAATCTCATTATAGAGGGCGTCAATGGCATCGCCGAAGTACTTCGCGGCAACGTTGCGCTTGACCTTCTGCGTCGGAGTCATGAGGTCGTCATGGAAGGGCTTAAGCGTGGGGTAGATACCACGGATCATCTCGAAACCGTTGAGCTTGTTCTTCTTGGCGACCTGCTCGAACTGCTTAATGAGATGCGCGCGAACCTTGGGGTCCTTGACAGCCTCTTCAAGGGCAGCCTCATCGGTGGGCGCGATCTTCTTACCGAGCACCTGGGCGACAAGATTCGACGCTAGCGTGGGCTCAAGAACTCCGACAGCGACAAGGCTCGAGCGGAGAGAGTCGGCGTGCACAAGCAGTGTAGCGTAGAGCGGGTTGAGGGCGTATACGCCCTCAATCTTCTCGAGCGCAACATACTCGCCCTGGCTGAGTTTGACAACGTTCTTGACACGATCCACAATCTTGAGGCGGCCGTACTGGTCGATCTCGCCAATGTCGCCGGTGTGGAACCAGCCATCCTTAAGGGCCTTGTCCGTGTTCTCCTTGTCATGCAGGTAGCCAGTGAAGACGTTGGAGCCGCGGATGCACACTTCGCCGCGCGGATTGGGCTTGTCCTGATGGGTGTAGCCCATTTCGGGGACATCGAAAAGACGAACCTCGTTGCACGGCTGGATCTGGCCCACGGTGCCGATGTGCTGCATGTCCTCAGGAATACCCTTCGAGGTTGTGCCGACAGTCTCCGTCAGGCCGTAGCCCTGAATAACATCACAGCAGAAGCAGATCCGCAGGAGTTCGTGCACGGCTGCCGAAAGAGGTGCGGCGCCGGACGACATGTACTGCACTTCGCCGCCGACAAGGGCACGGATTTTGCGGAAAACGAGTGCGTCATAGACGCGGTGGTGGACCGATCCGTTTGTACGGCTGTTGGCGAGCTTTGTTGCAACAGCGCGGCGGAGAAGCGCACCCTTGAGACCTGGGGCGTCCATCTGCATCTTGATGGCAGAGTAGACGCGGTTCCAGACGCGGGGCACGCCTGGGAAGAAGTTGGGCTTCATGATCTGCGCATCCTCGAGCAACTTGGTGGTGTCGCCGGTCGACAGGCAGATGGTACCAGCGCCCCCAACCACCAAAATCTGGAGGAAGCGTTCGTAAACGTGAGAAAGCGGCAAGTACGAGAAGAACTTGAACCCGGGCTTGTCAAAGTATTCGCCTACGCCATACGAGTTTGAGATAACGGCTGAGGTCATGTTCCAGTTGGAGAGGATGACACCCTTGGGATTACCGGTGGTTCCGGATGTGTAGGAGATTGTGACAATGCGGTTCTGGTCAATGTCCTGCTCGTCATCCGCGACTGTAGGAGCAACAAAGTTGTCAGGCTGGGCTCCCCACTCCTCCATCTCGAGCTGGTCAAGGAGGAGGATGCCGAGAGACGCGGCCCACTGGCTTAGAACATCGCGCTCGGCAGCGGTGATGGGATCCATGGTCACAATGACGCGTAGCGAGGGGCAACGGGGCGCCATGCGAAGCAGCTGAACAAGGTGGTGCGAAGAGGAAAAGATGATAGGGAGGGGGCAGTGGTTGGTGCTGTATGTCAGCTGAGATGTAGGTACTCATCACCCACATGTACTCGGCAGTGTCGGGGCCAAGAGTCTCGTACAGCGACGCCGACACCAGGCCGTATGCGTGACACGCGAAGTCAATGATTTGCCACTCCTCACGATTCTGGCTCCAAATGCCCACGGCCCAGCCGCGGCGAGCGCCGTTCTTGAGCTTGTCGCCCCACTTGGGAAGGCCAGGAGTGCAGATCTCAGGGGGCGACTGGACATCGGCAGGAAGATTGGGGTCGCGAAGGCGGCCGAGGCGCTCGAGCGTCAGGAGAGCCGAGCCGACGGCATTGCGACGGCGCTGGACCTCTCCGTAGCTCATGTCCACGGTCTTATTGGTCCATGTCGGCTTCTCGCCCGGCTTGGTCGCAGGAGCTTGCAGACGCCGGCGGAACATGGCCGTGTCTGGCGACTTCTCGACAGCTGCGCTTCGTTAGGGGGGTGAAAACAGACTAGTTGCGCAGCACTTACTTCGGTCAAAAAGTTCAGCGAGCGTGCGAGGGTGGGGTAGACCCTGGTCATCGTAGCGAAGGACAGACGAGTCCCAAGTACCGTTGACCCAAGCAGCTGCCAGAGTGAGCCGAGCTCTTGCGCTCCTCCCTCAAGTTCACTCACCGCTGGTAGCGCTGGTCTCGGTGCCCGGTACCGGCTGAACGTATTAGCGCACAATGGTTCGGAACACGCACGACGCTCTGTTTCTTGATGTCAAGCGTGTCGGGGTAAGGGACGAGCATGATGAGAAACGGAGGGAGTGTGGGCGAAGTCGCAAAGTAAAGGGAGGGTGAGGTGAGGTATGTTGTATGCCGTTACAAGCGGCAGATGAGCAGATGGGAGATAGAAAGATGGAGATCGGGGAGAGTTGAGGCGGAGACAGAAAGTGCGTTGCAAGTAGTATAGTAGAAGCAAAAGCGGGACGAGCTCCACGACGAGCGACGGTCCTTTGAGACCGCGATTCGTATGCTCCGGTTAATGCCAGCACGCCAGATACCCGGAAAATCTGGAGCCGCTCCCCTCGTCCCATCCCCCTATACTCACTGCCCTCACCGCAACGCGAGTGCTCCATCTCACGCCCCTTGCCCCTCTGACGCCCCTTTGCGATGGTGTCGCTCCAGCTACGGAACGGTCTTTTGTAAACTGCAGACTCAGGAGGAATGGGAGTGATTTTCAGATCCATACAGCCCTCTGTGGAGAAATGGAGGTCGTCCGTACTCACCTATGGAATCAAGGATCAAGGAACGGACGATTGATCGGGGCACGTGGGGGTCAGCTCCGGCCCGCCACCTGCCAACCTCAACCGGTGATGGGGGCACCAAATGAGTTACAATCCTAATAATTGAGATGAACGCGTGCAACCATACATGAGCTTGCATTGTAAACTGTTCGGGTATCGGGTCACACAAAAAGTAGCTGTCTCGTGCAATTGCATTGGGGAGACAAGATGTCGGGTGATTACTAGCGCCATCTAAGAAATCACTAAACCTCACTTGGACTCCTTGTCAGCCTCCTCACCGGACCCAGGGCCCCCAACCTGGAGAGACTTGGGCGTTGGCACGGTGGGAGAGCCGATGGACGAGAATGCTGGAGTCTGGCGGGCCGCAGGAGCATCGCCAGCATTTGCGGTGGCGTCCGAGTCCTCTGAGTCGATGTGCGCGTCACCGTCCTCGTCAACTGCCTGGATTTTGGCACCGCCCTCTGTGTCGATCACGTTAAGCTGTGGTTAGATCGCCTTCATCAAGCCAGACTCACGCTGGCATGGCCGTCATTGACGGCGTGCATTTCGTCGTCATCGTCGTCGTCGCCTGTCCTGAAGGAAATGCCAGATGCGCCCAGAATGCTCGCGATATGGACGAGGCCCCCAGCGCCAGCAATTCGGAAGCCACCGCCAGAGAAGCCACCCGAAGATGCCGGCGCCTGACCAAAGATGTCGGGAATCGACTCTGGGGTGTCACGGCCGACCTTATTGTCCACGCGCTCCTTGACCCAAGCCTGCCACTCCTCGGCGGTGCGGCCGCCGAGCAAAGCAACAATGACGACTGTCATGTTGTCACAACCGATGCCGCCCGTCTCCGAGTCAGTTGCAAGACACTTGACCATCAGGTCCTCGCAAATCTTGCCCAAATTGTCGCCATTAGCCACGGCGCGACGAACGAAGTCGATCACTTGCTGCGAAGACAGACAGTCCCAGATACCTGCACTATTAAACACTGTGTTTTCGGGACGAATGAATAAGCGAACTCACCGTCACATGCGAGCACGAGGAACTCCTCCTCGCCATCCAGTGTGTGCATCAGAATCTCGGGGTCCGCAGTCACAATCTGTTGCTCGGGTTGCAAGGTAAAGTTTTGCTTGAACTCAAAGTCACCGATGGCACGCGAGAGGGCGAGGTTGCCTGCGCGTCAGCGGGAAGGGCGTGCGAGGAGTTGCGCACCATTGACACGTCCAAACTCGACGAAGCCTCCAGCCGCAGTGATACGTGCAGTCTCCTCCTTGTTGGTTGGCTTATGATCGTAAGACATGGCCTTAGCTTCGCCCTTGTACCCAAGCACCGAACGCGAGTCGCCAGCGTTGGCAACAAAGATGCGGCCATCGGGAGTGACGAGGCCAACGACTGCTGTGCAACCCGAGGGGTCGTTGAAGAAGGTGGGGTCGGCGCGAAGGTCCTCGTCAGTCTTAAGGAAGACCTGCTTCAAAGCCGTCTCATAGTCGCCGGCCTCTGAGAGGTTAGTAGTGCCCGAACGATCACGTACTGTATGCGTCAAGGTTGGCAAGACGGGCGTGGAGCGTAGTGCCAGAAAACTTGGCGACCGTCGAGCCGCCATGGCCATCAAACACTGCGAATAGGGCGGGACCTTTCTCCTCCTTGCCATCGTTGGTTACAGTCGACCCCTGCGGCTGCTCGACTATGCCTTCAGCAGGAGGGGCATCGGAGCCACCGGGGGGAAGATAGAGATGCACCGAGTGCGAGTCCTCCATGCCTGAATGTTAGATCGACTTAATTTGCAGTCGAGCTCACTTATCCGCCAGCCCTGCATGTCGGATAGCCCGACCCAGAACTGCTTCTCCCGCAACACGACGGTCGTGTGCTTCTCCGTCACTGTTTATATCATCGGGCGGATGGGATGGGGTAGATCGAGGAGACAGTGTATGATCGCAAGCAAGACGTGTTGAGCGCATGTGGTCAACATCTTTCAATGACGTGTGAGAAATGACTAACCTGGCTCAGAGAGAGTTTGGCCCTGCAAACAACAAGAAAACGCGTCAGCATTGTGGAGGCGCAGTGGCGTCTGCGCTCGGCCGGCCAACACGCTCGCTCTCAGATAACGAGCGTCTTGCACCGAAGGAGCGGACGATGAACTTGCCACCTACCATGTTTGTGAATGAACGTCGAGGGCGCGATGGATGCGATCGTTACAACGAGGATATCTCAGCGGGGAGGAGAGCCGGAGGGAGGCGGATAGGAAGGGTTGGGGGGCGGGGAAAAACGCGTCCGATGCGAATGAAGAAGGATGAGGGGGGCCAAGAGTGACGGTAAAGGTCGGGAGGTGCACGACTTGACGCGTGCCGACCAAGTAGATGGGATGCAAAGAGTTGTGAGGATGAAGACGACACGAAGAAGGATGAAAGAGGAGAAGCGAACTGATGGGCCGCCCCAGCGGTTGCTCGGTGGCCGGACGGGTGGCTCGGTGTCTGGGTGGCGTGCCCTTGCTCAGTGGCTCAGTGGTATGTGTGTCAAGGGGAGGGTAAGCGGGAGCAAACCGTGGCGGGTGCATGGGGCCCGCGACCTTGCGCTGGCGGCTGGATCATGGATAACATGGGCGGGGCTGCTCTTCCGTCAACGGAGCGATCTGCACCACCGCAAGATCGCAAGAGACGGCAGCCCGACGACCGAAGCTGTAGTTTTATGAAGATCCCGGTCCATTATTCCTCTGACTCTCCTTTCTAATCTTTGACCCTCGGCGCCTTTCTTGCTTCCCCGATCTCTCATGACTACTGGCCTGACTGGCTGGCTTGACCGGACCAACGTACTCATTATCTGCTGTGATTGCCTCTCGTAATATATATAACATGGCGGCCAGAAGACCGACACGGCGCCGGATAGTGAAGTGTTAATCATGCGCGAGGCATTGCCTTGCACTCGATGCCTGTCGGACGATTGTGGTTGGGTTGCGACCTCAATGCATGTGAATCAATGCAGAGCCCTCATTCCGTTCATCCACGTAACTATAGCGCTATTGTGTCGCGACGAGATGGCTGCTGGTAGGCAGACGGCATGGAGATCGGTTGCAAGGCGCAACCAAGCTTCTCAATGCAACGGAGCGGAGATAATCGTTAGTCCACTGGGGACCCCGCAAAAACGTTCGTGTCGGCGTTAACCTTTTGTTTATGTGTGCATCCCTTTAAATCTTAACACTCCGCCTGGTTGGTCCTAGTCTGGTCGCGGCACCGTCTCACTCACCCCTCAAGTCTGGTGAGTGCGCACGACGTCCGTCCCCGGTATCACCACTAACTTCTCCAGACTGTCAAAAATGGCCCCCGCTACCAAGGGTGAGCAGCACCGAGCTCCCGTCCGAGACCAAACGTCTGGAACCTGCGCGCGCGATTTGTGGAGGAGAGTAGCGACTGTCGGGGGAAAGGTCACCGCAGTGCAGGAGGGCGGACGACGTGATCTGGCCGTCGTCTGAAGTGTTGGCTCTGGGCGCCCCTCTCGGCGCCGCGCTGAACAGACGGCAGATGGCAAAAGGGAGCGCCTTGACAATTCTTGGGTGGCGGAGATGTTGAAGCGCGCGCAGCTTTCGATGAGTCTGGACGGAGGGAGATGCAGGACAGCGAGCGCTGCGCATCAGCGTGCAGCGTGCTCTCCTATCTGCGGCGTGAATAGAGCTGATTTGCAGCTACCCCCGAGGCGAAGGCCAAGGCCGCGAAGAAGGCGGCCCTCAAGGGCACCCAGTCCCACGCGGCGAAGAAGGTGCGCACCTCGGTGTCCTTCCACCGCCCGAACACTCTCCGTCTTGCGCGTGCCCCCAAGTACCCCCGCAAGTCGATCCCCCATCTTCCTCGGATGGACCAGTTCCGCACCATCCAGCACCCCCTGTCGACTGAGTCGGCGATGAAGAAGATTGAGGACCACAACACCCTCGTCTTCATTGTTGACCTGCGCGCCAACAAGCGTAACATCAAGGACGCTGTGAAGAAGCTGTACGACGTTGAGGCGGCCAAGATCAACACCCTGATCCGGTGAGTACCTCTGCTTGAATTGTAGATCTCTGAGCTGACTTCCAGCCCCGACGGCAAGAAGAAGGCTTACGTTCGCCTTACTGCCGACTACGATGCCCTTGAGGTCGCCAACAAGGTGAGTCAGCATGCCCGTGCCGGCCAAGCGCAGTATCGCTAACATCAGATTGGCCTCATCTAGTTCCTCTTTGGGTCGATAGTGGGGGATGCATTGTTACATGACAGCTAGTTCGATCAGTCACACCGTGAAAATCTCCCTGCGTTCACCATTTGCAGAAACAACGTCGCCGTTGTTCAGCTTGGTGCGGTCTCGTTCCACAAATGTAATCCTGCCATCCTCACGGACGAGGATGACGGTTGCGACGCGAGTCGCATACCAGCGTGACTCCTGGTCCTCGCCTGCACTATCAGCGGGACCCAGGCCTTTTGCTCCAATCCGGATTGGGGCGACCTGTGTAGCGTAGGTCATGTCGACCGGGCTGTGGACTGGGGGTGCGGGACTGGAGTCAGCGGACCGCATGATCCTGGTAACTTGCGATAGCAGGTCCATCATACGTTCAACGAGCTGGTCTTCCTCCTCATCATTCCGCGCCCATTCGGTGAGTGACTCTGCCATGCGCTCCTCGCCGCTTTGAACCTTGGGATACGGCTCTGTCAATGGCGAGTTGGACATGCCTTTGCACCCGCAGTCATTGGGGTGGAGAAGCGGTGGACTTGACCGGTTGCTCAGATAGCCCGCTTCCGGTTCTAGCCACGCGCCGTTCCGCCGCTTCAGGTTGAAGAGGAGGAGGTTGAAACCAACGTAGCGCGCCGGGTCGATGTTTGAGAGAAAGTCGTTGACCGACGGTGCCTGTTCCGGCGGGGATGCGAGGAACTCCTTCAGCAGGTGGCCACGAGAAGGCGCATTGGGGGGAGGCTCGCGGATGGGGTATCTGATGTTGGTGCTGTGTGTCAGCGTCTCCATGAATCCCGTATTTGCCTACAGGATGCCGATGCGCAGATCCGACGTAATGCCGAGCCATGTTCCTTTGTCGGGGCTACCGAGGTCGCGGCCGCAAAGTACCCAGTTGTCATCCCGCGACTCGTCGTCGAAGTTATGCCATCCGGCTTCAGAGGCAGGCCGGTCGAGGAATTCATCGCGATTGGCAGCGAGGATTCTGCAGGTCAGCGCAGGCCCTGCAAGCGTGTTCACAGCTTATAGCCTGGTTGCGACTGGGTGTAGAACACAATGCACATGACGGGTGACGAGGCGATGAAGAAGAGCAGCAGTGTGAAGTCAGAGCACAGCTTATAACCAGGCAATCCTGGCCTGCGTAAATCCCGGATGAACATTACCGGATACGACACGAGCGTCAGGGATACTCGATTTGCGTGCCACAGACAACTCTCATAAACAATTACACTAAATCTGTACAAATGCTTGACTGCCTAGACTATTCTACACTTCGCGGAGTACAACGTCAGCCCACTGTCGTCCACGATCATCCTGCACGCGGAAGTTGTTCTTCTCTAGGCGGTCTTCCCCCCATTTCATCAGGCGGAGAAGTCCTGCCACCTTTGTCTCCATTCCCTGGCCTTGACTCTCAAGGATTGCGGCGTTGAGCTCTTTGGCAACCTTGGCACGCTGTGTGCGCTTCATGAGCTGAGTGATGGCCTCAAAGGACGCATCAGCAGAGGCGTCGTCTTTGGCGAGGTCGGGGAAGGCGAGGAGTGCCATAGTGCGTTCGAGATCGGCGAGAAACTCCGGATTTTGAGCACCACGGGGAGCGAGCTCAAGGGTGGCAAACTGGAGAGCCTCCTCGACCCGGTCCGTCCGGATGAGCTCGATAAGGCGAAGGAGAAAAAGGTGAAAGAGCAGAGGTGGATTTGTGTCGAGAATCTGCCAGAGTCAATATGTGCCCAGACGGTATATAGGGCCCCTCATATCAGGTCTGTGATTGTTCAGGTTTTTCAACATGGCCTTGCACGAAGCCGGCTCAGCGTGGTGCATGAAGTTTCATATCATCGGGGCATGGTGCGTCACAGTGACTTACCTCTGGGTCCAGCTCATTAACGCGGCGGACGGCCTCCTCAACGCGACCGTCCTCAACTGCTTGGCGTATTTCCATCCGCTCCTGGATCATGTCCTGATCGATGGTTGAGGAGATACCCGTCTCGCGCGCAAATTCCACCGCGGCGTCAGAGAACCCTTCGACGACAAGGTAGTCAAACACGAGGGCATTGAGGTCGCTGTGTGTTAACTCAAGGATGAATTTGAGCACGATAGAGGGAGAGAAGCGCGATCAGAGATGCAAATATATAAGGTGTCCTCAAGATTGATAGGAGAGATTCCCACTTGCACATAGAATATCATCCGGGAAGCGGCGGTGAATGGGCTAACTCACTCTCTGGACACGGATGCGGCCTCGAGCTTGTCCTCCCATGTCTGGGTGTCAGATGTTTGTCCGGCCACGCCCGACTGCTGCAGGCCATTGCCTGCGACGCTAGCCGCCATGATGCCTCTCAAAGCATGTGACTGGGGTGGCGAGATGTCGACAGACTTGTGTAGTGAGATGTGCAGAGGTGCAATATACTGCCATGATGCTGGCCAAACGGGGCGCGAAGGGGGGCCGGCGATAGGCTTTATCATGCGTGTGGCAGTCAGTAATGCGCCATCGTGGGAAAGCTTAAGACACCAAGATCTGGATGTCGTCATGTAAACAAAAGCGAAGCCAACGACTGTCCATGCCATCCAGCATTCTACCATCCATCGCGATATCACCCGGACTCGAATGGAAGACTACCAGTTTTCAAAAGTGTACAAGGCAAACTCCGCCGCTTACTCTCCCGGTTCCACTTTCATCGCCACGGCGTCGCAGAACACAGTTGTCATCCGCTCCACATCGTCCCTCGAGAGCATTCGCACGTGGGCGTGTGCTGTCCCGGACAGGTCGAGAGGGGATAGTTCAAGCACGCATGGCGTCCATGAAGTAATCATTGACTATCTTGAGTGGTCTCCGGGTGGAACTCACCTCCTGGCGTTCTCACACTCCAATGGACTAGTCTGGGTGTTTGACCTCCCCAAAAATGAAGTCGTTGCTCGGGTCGGAGGAGATGTCCTTGAGGCGACATGGGGGGGAGATTTCCTGCTGACGCAGATGGAGAGGGTAAGAAGGCGGCGCCGCGGGCGCTGACAACCAGGGCCTTGCGCTGTACGATTTGACTTCAGGCCGCAATCTCTTCATCCAGAACGCGCAGGGTGAGCAAGCCAGTTGGCAGACACCGCGCTCATTCAAGGCTATGCATGGTCGCCCGATAGAAGCTACATAGCTGTGTCTGAGCGGCACCAGGGAAAGCAGTATGTCGGCGTCTACGACAAGAAGACGTTAGTCCGAGTGAGCTAATCGCCTTGGCACGTCACTGAAACTAGCACTTCGAGGTGCTCTCGGCAGACACGACCCACATCAGTTGGAGCCCTTGCGGGAAATGGATTGCGCTGCTTGACTGGACGCTTTCTGTTCGTTCTCGCCGAAACGAATCTGACTTTACAGCACCATGTCTTCTTTTACTCTCCAGTAGGAGTCTACATAGGCACATACGCCCTTGACACTTCTTCAAACGCTGCCCACGACCTTGTGCAGTCCATCAAACGGACAGCGTGGGCGCCAAACGGACGGCACTTTGCAATTGGCGACTCAGGTGGCTTAGTGCGCATTGTGGAGAGCGAGAACTGGACCTCGATTGCGAGCTTAAGGGGGTATCAAGGCATCTCTATCCATGAACCGGTCGTGCCCCCTTGGACAGGGGAACCCCCCAGTATAGTGCAGTGTTAGCTTCGATCGTGTGGCCTTTCTGACGCCTAGTTGAGCCAACTACCATATCACCCACTGGTTCAGCCATCCACTGGCTGGGTTTCAGCCCAGATGGAACCGTCTTGTTTTTCGGACAAGAGAATGTTCTCCATATCGCTGCGTTTCTCGTGGATTCGGTGTCGCCAACGCCGGTTATCGAGGCGACCGTCTCCATCTCCTTCAACGCCTCCATCAGAAGTGTCCAATACTGTCCAACATCCAATCGCATCGCCATCGTGACACGGACGCGGTACTTATACCTATATGACGGGCTGGGCGTCGAAGGTGTTGAAATCCCCGACGGTAAGTTCATCGCCTTCGCGTCTGACATAGCAGCCCATTCTTTCGGCGCACTATCCGTCCGCTGGGCACCCGATGGTAGCTCGGTCGCGATTTGCGACAAGAGTTCCTTTTGTCTTGTCTACGAGGATCCAGGGGCGGAGGACGCCAAATGGGACGAGATGTAGGCGCTCGAGCTCGCGTACTGTGACATGCACCAGGAGTATGGGTTTAACAATATTGGATCGAGCAAGTTTAGGCGCTCAATATACTACATATTACTAGGCGGTTGTTGACATACAAACAAAACACCGGTTCGCGGATGTGGGACCTGTCGTTGTCTAGCCGAACAGCATGGAGGCTGCCACATCTACATCTCCCCCAGCGGCCTCCAGAAGCTGAGCAGCCTGCTCGGGTGTAGCGCCGAGGCTTACAAGCTGGTATGAGCCTGGCGACTAAAGGAGTTGCTTACAGTCTGTATGTCTGCCGATATCTGTGTAGTTCCGGGAGCACGCGAGGAGCCGGCAATGGCAGTGCTGGCAGAAGCCGTGGGTTGCGAGGTTGTCTGCGATGCCAGGTCATTGAGGTCTGCAACAGGATTCTGACGAGCCTTCTCGGGTAGCTCGTGTTCCGACAGAAAAGGGATACTAACGTCACCAATGCGCAGGCAATTGGCAGACAAGTCAATGCAAGCTTGGTGGCGCTTGAGCATGTCCAGACCGAATAAAAGATCCACTGACTGGCCTTCAAGCACAGAGAAGGCGACAGGGAGAAAGAGGTTGCCCAGCTTCATCTGCGCTGAGTGCACACGCCCTAGAATTTTTGCTGTTCCGACGCCTTGCGCGATGCCTGCGAACCGCTTGTCGATGAGACGCATGATGCCACACGCCTCAGCGCACTCTGGTGAGACTGCTGTCAGCGGTGGAGCGCAGGAGGAACGCACTGATAGTCGACTGGGCACCAGAGTCCACGAACGCTTTGACACGATGTCCATTTACCTCCACGTCGATGTAGAGCATCGTCACTCGTCCAAATGATTCAGGCAGATGGATGAGCTGAGACTCACACACTGTAACTCACAGAATATTCCATCGCATGTGACATGTTTTCCAGAACCGCCTCCATGCGGATAGCCTCCTCAATCTTCTTCTGGGCCTGGGGCTGTGAGCACAGGATATCGATACCTCAAGCCTACCTCGATGTCGTACGGGTCCGCATTCAGGAGCTCGGTTTGCCGTTCCTTTTCCGCGGTAGCGCGCCTCATGCGATCGGACTGTTGGCGAACCATGTCGCGGAAGTTCGATCCTCCAGCTTGAATGGCGGCTGCTAGGTCGGGGTTGGCCAGAAAGTTAGCCACTGCAGTTCAAATATGATCGCGCTGCTACACACCTGGCGCAGCTGATTCATCAACCTGGGATCCCCCAGAGCCTGAAGGCGCATCCTTTCAAAATCCTCGTCTGCAGACGTCGAGCCTGACGCTCCAGATGCAAAGGGTTGGTGATCACTGAAATCAGCTGGTGGTCCTCGGTTTCACTGACCTAAAGGTGAGAAACAGGGTAGCGCTACCACCTTGTAGCCCGTAGTCAGCGAGAGACTTCTCTGGCAAGGTGAGAGCCACGCCAGAGTCAGTGGAAAGCGTCTGATTCCCCACGGGCGCGCCCGTCTGACGTATCAGTAGTTGTCTGTGGCCACTTGTCTGTGACTTACTTCAGCCTCCACGAGCGCCTTAACGTCGCGAACCTCCATGGACGGGTCCACCTCGTGCTCATACACGTTTTCGGGGGCGATAATGGTGAGCCGCATGTTGTGTGGTCAAGTTACGGAAGATATGTCATGTCGTTTGAACAGTCCTTGGTTGACCTCCACCGACGCTGCTGCTGCCACACAAAGGAATGCCGCAGAATGCCGCAGGGAACTGCTCCAACTCGAGATCTGCGTTTCTTCTGTTGTTAAACCATTGCACCAGACGACGACGCCTCTGCTCCTCCCTCACGCTTTGGCTGTCTCTCACCCTCACGTCCTTGTGACTTCGCTGGGAAAAAGTGCTTCGAATGAGCCTGCGCAACCGAGTCTTGAGTACGCCTTGCTCTCCCTTGTGGGCCGGGCGTAATTTGACAACGGTACATGGCCCATGTCCATGTCGCGACGTCAGCATGGAGGGAGAGAGAAAGATGGAGATGAGTTGGAGGAGCGTCGCCATGGCAACGCCCGCCGCCAGGGAGCTCGATGTTCTGGCGTTTGGTCTGACATGGCAAAGGAGACGGATGCATCGGTGTCAACGCTCTTCGTTGGCTCTCATGTCACATATCTTGCTACGCATCGCCGTACTGTCCATCCGGAGCCTTCAAAGCTTACGCTTGAGCTCATCGTATGACGTCCGTATCTCCTCTTGAGATAGCTTCTCGTGAGCACCGACGCTACGGTCCTTACCCCTTGGACTAATATCATCAGCGTATGTCTGCCTATTGAACTTACTAGGCCAACCAACGACGAGACCCGCCTTATCGCCGGCGTCGGCGGGCTTGGGAATGTAGTGAAAGTGGACATGATCAACCTCCTGGGAAGGTAAACGGCATAGTTACAGATATCCTCAGTCAATACGAACCTGATGAGCGGGACGGCCATTGTTCTGTCGTTAGCGGCCGTCCGTTCGTTCCCCTCACTTGAAGAATGTTGTAGTTCTCGTTACCCTTGCAACGTCAACTGTTGTACAGACTAGACTGGCCTCCTTACTGAGGCTGAGGCTATCTTCGCGAGCGCAGGGAGGATGTCGCCCATCTGATGGTCTGGGAGGTCGGATAGCTTGGCCGCGTGGTCTGGATATTTAGCGAGAATACTGGCGCATGTTATGCTGTTCAGGTCGACCTCGATGTGTTTCCCAGTCGCAGGCCCTATTCCTCACCATGCCCACAGAATATCTCATCTCCAGCGATGTGGCGATGGCAACTATCCTTCCACAGATGTCCCAACTTCCACTCCTGCGAACTGGAGTCTCACGACTTACACTTCGGAATCACAAGGCAGTGCCCCCTCGCGATGGGACCAATATCCATGAACGCAAGCATAGTTTCGGTTTCAAGAAGCTTGAAGCTAGTCGAGGTCAATAACACAGCAATGCGACGGTGCGACGCACCAAGGAATGTCGCCTGCACACGGAATAATGGTCAGAGTTTGGGCCATTCAGACCGCTTCACTGCCACATACCCTTGACGATTGTGCAGAAAATGCACCTGAGGGGGTCAGAAGAGAAGGTTTCAGAGCACATCTTGCTCACGATGACTGAGACGACATCTGGACAGTGTCTTGAGAGTAAGTGATAGATCGTTGAGTGAGTGACAGCAAGGTGCGAGAGTAGGTGGAGGTTGGTGACGTCGCAGCGGAGGTCACCGACATGACACCCTTTCATGTAGCCAATGGCAGAGCTAAGTTGGTGTCGGGCCCGACCGCCCGAATTTGCGATTGAGCTGAGTGGATGGAGATCTCAGAGAGTCTGGAGATAAAGACGTTCAACAAGAGGAGGCCGCCGACACAACTATCTGATTCTACGTTACTGATCGATTGAGTTAAGCCGCTCCTTCCACAATGTCACACTATACCACCTCCCTCACCAACCACACCACTGAGAACTATCTCAAGCACGCCGAGTTCGTCTTCTCGGACCAGCATGCATCCCCGATCCTTAGTATGCTGAACCCTCAGCCTGGTCAAGCGATTGTCGATCTCGGTGCTGGCACAGGGCACCTTACTGTCAAGATCAAGCAGGCTGTAGGCGACTCCGGAACCGTCGTAGGCATCGACTCCAGCGAAGACATGGTGAGCCGTCCTTGTTTCCAGTCATTATTACGCATCTGATGTTAGCTCAAACATGCAAACATCAGCGCGGTTCAGCTGGGCATCCGATACTTCAAGGGAGACATCCAGGATTACACCACTCTCGACCCCTGCCTCGAGGGCAAGTTCGACCTCGCCTTCTCTTCGGCGACGTTCCACTGGTGCAAGGCCTACCCTGGGGGCGTGGTGGAGACAATCAAGTGGCTTCTTAAACCGGGCGGACGAGCCGTATTTGAGTTTGGTGGATTTGGGAACACGTGAGCAAGATGTGGGGACAGCTGCTTACTGCATAGGGTTGGGGTTCGAGCTGCCCTTCACGAGGTTGTCAATCGCCACGGCGGTGATGCCACCAAAGTTGACCCGTGGTATTTCCCAACTGCTCAGCAATACTCTAAGGTACCCTCCATCACGTTGCTCGTCGCAGCTAACAAGTAACAGCTTTTGATCAAGCATGGTATGCAGCCGCAGCAGGTGCACCTCGTCCCTCGCCCAACGCCTTTGTCTACGGATATGGTTGGTTGGCTAAAGACCTTTGCGCGCAATACCTTTATGGCGGAGTTTGATCAGAAGGAGGCCGACGAGATGATGAAGGAGGTGAGCGAGATGACTCGACCCGACGCGTTTTGGTGTGATTCGGCTCCCGGCACGGGGATGGTTGCGGCCTCAACTTGCGGGCAGGGCTGTGCGAGTGGATGGGAGATAATGTACGTCCGCCTGCGGGGAATAGCCCACAAGGCGTCTTAAGTTGCGGACCCCCCGGACCTCTCTATGTATGACCGAGTCTCTCGCTCTCATCCGTGGAGTTTGCCATTTTAAGGCATAGCTTCCATGCGTCTGCGTGTCTAACAAGGTTGGCATTCGAGCTGCGTTGAGCCAGACAACCTTCCTTCTACTACAGCTCCACACCGCACACCTGGCTCATTGTGCGGCCTGCTGCAACGTCAATTATAATGCCACTTTCTTCTCTTACTCTTCACGCTGCGACCATACCTGAGGCCCTCCTCCCCTTCCGCATCCCAATCGAGGTCGTCGACGCCCGCAGGCAGGCGAACAAGCCAATCTCTCCTTCGCTCTCCCGTGCTATTGTAGTGATCGTGTCCCGAGTAGGTAAGCATGAACGCTGCGTAAGTGTCACGTCTCAGTTCGAAGCTGACAAATTCCATTGAGCTGACATGAGCACAATGCTGATCAGGGTTGGCTCACCTTCCTTCCTCCTTGCAACGAGATGAGAATGCTGCGCTTTTTGCCGGACGAGATCTTTTTCAATGCCAAGTCGAGCTTTTCCATCTCGAAAGCCCCATCTCTGCAGGATCAACGATTAAACCGAGATTGGACGAACGGATCGGCTTCGTCACTGGGACTGTCTGGGTCTACTCGGGAATCTGCAATTGTGTAGAAGCCGACATCCCATAACACTCAAGTTAGCTCAAGTTTGGACGCTCGTACTACGAGTTCCTCGCCCTGCTCTCGTTTGATCGCCTCCTTCGAACGTAAGATAGCTCGGCGGATGTATCGCCGTTTGTATCGCCAATCGGACCTCGCCGGGGCTCAAGCCTGTCCCATCAGAGGCTCCAGAATTGCAAAAGCAACAACCGTAGCTCACCTACAAGGCCCTTGGGAATGGCCCAGCTATGAAGACCATCACGCAAGCTGAGGCGGAGGTCATAATGAGGGGCAGTTGCCCAGTGCCGCTGGATGCACCACACATTCCTCTGGCGGAGGACAGGAAAGTTCTTGACGTCTTCCAAGTTATGGGTGGGGCAATTGGTAACGCCCCTTTGGTCGAGACTGGACCTCGCCATGCTGTCCAGCTGATGAAGGGTGAACATCGCATGCAAGCGGAGTAAGTATGTTGGACGATAAGATAAGCTGGGGCGCAAGGCGGGATCAAAGTACTAGTCGATGAGTCATCGACCGGCCACCGGCAAAGTAGCCGGACAGTCAGTGACACCTTCTTGACGTTTCCCCCAACTCTCTTCAACATCGCACCGAGTCTTCACAATGCCGACCCCTTCTCTTGCGGAGCGATATCTTGCGCGTCTTGGCATCGCAAAGCCTGAGCGCCTGGATCTCCCAACCTTGACCAGCATACTGGAAGCTCACTTGCGTGCCATCCCGTGGGAGAATGTCTCCAGCTTTACCGGCACTCCTGTTAGTATGGACAAAGAGGCAGTACTCTCCAAAATGCTCGAAGGGCGACGTGGCGGCTATTGCATGGAGCATGCGCTCCTGTCAAGGGAGGCGCTCGCCGCCATCGGATTCAAGACGGAGGCTATTCTTGCTCGCGTGTACGCCGATCCTACTGCCGTCACCGCGATGGCCCAGACCCACTGCGCGACAGTTGTCACTGTTGAGGGTGGAGAGTATGTATTCGACGCTGGCTTCGGGCGCGCAACTCCAACCATTCCAGTGCGCCTTGATGCGGGCTCGGTTGCCCAAACCGGACCGTTCGGATCCTACCGTGTCCGCTCTGCTGCAGAAGCGCGTGAGGCCGTAGGTGCACAGAAGATGGGAGATGATGTCCTCCTCGTCCTAGAGTCTCGCTTCGGCGATGACTGGACTCCATGCTATGGCTTCACTCCGCGACCAGTCGTCGACGCCGACATTATCGCGATGAATTGGTTTGTCTGCACATACCCAGGAGGACTCTTCTCATCGAACCTTCTCTGCGCCACCTGGAACAACAACTACCGCGTCACATGCTTTGGCAAACACTTCAAGAAGGTGAATCAGGACGGCATCACAGAAGCGGATGTCACAAGCCGTGATGAGGTTCAACGATGGCTATGCGTCGAGATGGGCTTGAGCCTCGACGCCACGACTGTCGATGCCGTCTGGCAGAATCTCAATAAACAAGAGTAATGCGAGTCTTGTGAGTCATCGTTCGGGCTTAGGTGGACGGACTAACGATACCAGGTCAGGTTGTTTGATTGTTAGCATCGGCGATCTCCGGAATTCGTGTTCCTCACGCCGATATGTGATCTTGGAGGTAGGGCGATGCAATGTACCCCATTGTGTGCTTGGCTGTACGTGGTATCGTTGTTTCTGTGGATACTCTGGTCAGGTGTTCTTCAGCTAGCTGCCAAATAGCAAACATTCGTCTAAGTCAGTCTGGCGGTCGTTGAGTAGGCACTGTGCTCACACGATATTCTGTGACTCCCTCATGGAAAGTTTCCAGATTACGATACTCGTGCTGGAGTGCAATATCACCCACCGACGTTGAGTAGCCCAGCAAAAGCAACTATGGACTGTATCAATGATGCGCCCAGTGGAAAAAAGCCGCGCACTCAGATTGTAGAACAGGTAAAAGTTGTGAGGAGAGGGCGTGACAGACCTCCGGAACAATGTTGAATACAGTGATATCCTTCAATAACACGAAACGACTTGAGTATCACAACGTGAGGCGAACGCACTCGAGCGGCATAATGCAAGCTCCACTCGGCGGCATGGTTGAGGAAAGTGGAAGATCATTTTGTTTTAGATAACAAATGACAGCAATCGTACAGTTTGGATGCCACCCGAGCGAGGGTCTCGACTCAGGAGTGTAAGAGAGGGCACTTATGCTGGGAGCAATCCTCAGGTTGCTACAATAATTCCGATCATATGGCAAAGGGGTCACAAGGACACCCGTGAACAGTTGAGATTGGATTCAACAGTGTTGTATTGACGCTCGATTGATTGTAAATGTGGTGTCACTGTTGTTATTGCGGTAAAACGTTCATAGTCCGCAGGGAAGAATTGATTGTTGACTGCTGGGTGTATCTCATTATCACCACCTGCCAGCAAACAGACTTCCTGAACATAATAATGGATGCTGGGAGCAAAAAGGTAATGTCCGCTGAAGTGTCACTTCCCAAACTATACTTGGCCGGAGAACACGATGTAGGGACGGAGAGATATAAAAACACAACATCCATGACTATGCAGGAGATTACTTCCAGTGCCCAATGGCAATACAGGACGTTACTCCACTGCCAGCCAACCATAAAGCAGCCGCTCTCAGTGATTCCCGCGGCTGTCTGATACGGTATAATGGCAGCACAGCTGATATGTACGCTCACTCTAGACTACACCATTCCGTGAGAGGGATTGGTTTTTAGCCCATGATATAGCGGCTATGGCGATCGCTCTGAGTTCCACTGTGTTGTCTTTGACAAACAGAGCAGACCAATCGGGAGCAGCCTGCAATGTGCTCTTTCACATGTCTATCTCAGAAGTGGGATTCACTTGCAAGCCCGGTCTGCGTGTTTTGCCACTTGTACGATGCCAATCAAACCCGCGTGCGCGATCCCGTGGGGGGAAGCCCTTTATGTCCTTCCTCGGTAGGATACCTACACGGTTTGATAGATAACGGTGTACAGCCATTGGTGGTGAGATTGCTTCTCCTCTTGACAAAATCACTGAGAGACGAGTTCTCATCCATAGCACCGCCAAGTGATTAGTGAGATGAAACAGCTTGATAGATAAGTGCACGCAGGGGCCAAGTTAGCCTCCCTTCAGCTTTCAATCATACATCCTATCTTATGCAACTCAATGTATGGAAACAGGCATTCAGAACATGCTCGCTTTTTAGACCAAAGAAGCATCATGTAGCTGTCGAAGTGATTTGGACCCTCCGCCGCCCCAGTAGTATGCGGCACCCTTTCTATAGAGTGATCAACTCAGACTGTTTTAAAGGATGTGTTGCAATTCGCAAGCGGGGGTGATATCGGGCAACTACTGTCGTCGGTTAGAGAGACACGCGCGCAACGAAATTTTGTAAATGAGGTATGTACACAACATCCGGGAGCACATAGGCAATTGGGATGACATAGAAATCGGAGTTGGAAATATTTGAGGAGTCAGAGAGTCGGCCATATTGCAGGAATATGTAGTGCGTGACTTCACTTGACTCCTTCAAGAGGCTGTATCCCGCCGAAATGTCTGCCCTCACCAGTTTGAGTGCTCTGCAAATACAATGAGCAAATATTAGGGGGGTCTGAGCGGGATCGGTGACACGATGTGGGCTATGTTCTTCTGTAACAAATGCCAATGGCTGTTATGCATGCTTTGATCCACAACTTGGCTGTGAGCGGTTATCCGTGCAGATCATTGGGGAAACACTTCCAAGTCTAGAAAATAGTGGCTTGACGCAGCCACATACCATAAGCATTTGGATGCAGTACTGCGGGGTAGGCAGGGCTGACCTGCTGGAGTACCGGCGGTGACCAACAACACACTTCAACCATTATGTTCGCTCAATAGTGTTCCAAGAGTGATGCCACATGAACCACCCTTTTGTGCAAACACCGGTTTGGTTCAAGAGTGCGGATGGCTGGACTGTTGGATGTATACCTAGTCAATAAGTTGCACCATAAATGGTCTGGCCAGAGAGCAGCTGGGCCACCGTCATTAGTACGTACATACCCGTCTTCGGTGGGTCTATCTAGAATGAGCCTGCTGGCCAAATGCCAGACTGAATTCAGTCGCCGACAATGTAAATATTCCTTTGAGCGTTGGCCCATGGAGGTATTCAGATCATGTGCTCCACTGGTAGCAAAGGGGTCTGAAGATCTAGATACATGTATTCAGTGAGCCAGAGGTGTCGTGTCGATGCTCCAGCTTCAAAACGTTTCTGGAGCTGCCGCCGACCAATAGTCGAGGTAGTCTCTGTAACCTCGTGTCGATTGTCCATTGAGAATCTAAACCAACAGTGGAAGGTCGGTCGATTTCCAACATTTGAGTCCTCACATGCATCGTGCTGAGGCGCCCCATCGACTGGATCCTTTAGCAGCGAGTTGCGGTCAGGTGTTGGTTACAGGGGTATCTCCTTGATTGAGTGTACGCATCCGTCTGCTCTAGCTCAGTCTGTTTGCGCTGAGAATCAGTATGTGCTGGTTGAAGAAGGTTGTAAGTGTGGAAATCTGTTCTGAATGGAATCTGTTGTGAACCGAAACAACACAGCCAAGTTCAGTTGGGGGTTCACTCTCATGGATCGATAGAGACACGCCGACGCCGCTCTTGCAAGCATTGTCAGAGCAGAATGACTGATGATGTGGACACTTTGAGTGGATGGGGTGATAGCCAGGAAGCCTCTCCGCACTCTCACGGTTGCTTGGGCCGTTCCTTCTTGGAGATGGCACAGATCGCCTCCGAGATGAATGTCTTTGAGACTTCAGGCATAATGGCTACAATGTTGAATTGTCTGTCAAAGCCTCCGTTCCTAGGGCCCCAAACATGACCCGATCGGGAGATTTCAGCGATAAATAATTGATCATTGAAGTATAGCGTTCGAAATGTCCAGTCTGTATTCGCAGTTTCAATGTCCTTCATCATGATCCATGGACTGTGCCTATGCCTATCCGAAATGTCCTCAAGCAAAGAACATCGGACGTTTGGGATTATCTATCGTCTCACACTCGCCTATTCAAATGGTGCAGCCAGGAGGAACTCAACAGTACTGGTGGTTATGTGTTGCTGCAGGTCCCCCCCTCCAAGGTCAAGGTGGTGCACGAAGGATATTGCTAGCGAGGGCATCCTTACTGAGGTAGCCCCTTCCCTCGGTATCAGGACTGGGTAGAAATCGCTCTGAACGAATGGTCAAACAGTGGCCCTGCAAGAAGTCGTGCTTGTGTGTTCGGGTAGATGAACCTAAACTGCTTAATGAAGGGCAAAACCCAGGATATATGTCGGGAGAAGAAATTTGGCAACATGAGCGACGTGTTGGAAGAGGTACAGGAGGGGGGTTTAGAAGACTGGGGGGTAGTGTTGTGTGGCTCTTCATTTCAGTTACCATCTGCATTGCTTCATGGGCACTGCAGGCGACAAAGGAGAACTAGCAACTGAGGGCCTGAACCAGGCGACTTCTGTTTTGCTTTGGTGTGTCTGTTATTAATCGCAATGCTACAGCCTACCCAAGCAGTGTTCTTGCAAGCAACGATTCACCATACGGTTGCCTGTAAAGTTTGTCCGGCATAAAGACATTTTCAAGCACACATTGCGCGGGGCAGTCATGTTCGCACGTGAGATTGAACTCTTCGAAGGTCGAAAATTCCCGATCAGGTAGTTCTGTTGGTAGTGAGAGGTATGCGGTTACCTAATACCCCATCGGGCAATTTTGTGACATTCATGTCCCCTGTCATGTTGCGTTTGATTCATTTTGTGATTGCTCTCTGCTGATACAGGATCAGAATGCATTGGACGGTATGCGATATTCCATTCTATCCTTCTAAAACTCCGGCATGCTCCTGTTATACAATGTTCAGCGTCTTTGCTTTGGCAAACAACAAAGCACCTTCCGCCTTGAGCAAACATCTGACACTTTTGTCGCAGTACACATTTCATACCCGACTTCCAACCTTTGGTCGGGAGTTCGTCGTAACCGAATCAGAAGGGTCTCCTCACCTAGCCGCAACGAACGTTACAGCCAGCCGAGCACCTTCTGTGTCCAGCTTTTTTTCCGCAAGGACAGGGGAGGGGGTAGTGGGGAGGCAGTTCATGGAAACACATTATTCTTGGTGGAAATGGGCCTGCTTGCTTTACAGTCGTGTTTGCCAGAGACCGGCTTATTCGCCCGATTCGAGAGGCCAAAACTAAGCCCCTTCATACTTAGAGTGGCGGATGGTAAACACAGGGCGGGGACATAATCAACGCCAGTTGACCCAAATCCCCCGTTGAAGGGAGCAATGATTACATTACTCTATCTCTCCCGCGGCCTGTTGATATTGCCCACGGAGTCTCAACGTCCCCCGATCTTCTGAAGAGCTTTGGCGCTCCAAAGTCGGAACTGGATTCAATCCTCCCTCTATTGGTATGCAAACCCTCCCGTCAATGTCAATCTAGCTCTCCGGTCCTTTGGACAGTGTAGGGGCCTTATCGAACCTCAAGGAGTTTGCCCATGCCAACAATGTTCGTGTCTTTCCACGAACCTTTACCATGAAGAGTTGACAAACTGACCACCCCAGGCGAGCATTAACACTTCCAGACGAGCAGGAACACCCCCTCACGAGCATTCAGACAAATGACAGTCCAAATGGCGTGTGGCAGCCTCCAAAAGAACTGTCTCAAAGTGCATTTTCGCAGCGAATCCTTCGCTGGTTCTTCCTTGTCTACTTCAGATAAGTTGCCCTTAATCAAATCGGCCCTGAGAGGATGTTAGCTTCAGGTGGTTTCCGTCCGTCCTAAGATTTCTGTTCCCGAGACGCGGGGCGGGCACTTCAAATCTGATCACGTGATATCCCGGAGATTATCGCATCTCCGACTTGAGCAACGGCATGGTCGCCACGGTGACATCACACTTCGATTCATCGACTTTAACATCGACTCCGCCCACTTTCGCCAAACCATGGCTTGCGGCCTTCCACGCGCTCTACAAGTGGCACTTGCAGTTCGCGCGCTCAGCTTGGCCTTGCCCCACACGTTTTTTCAACCTGACGAGTTCTACCAAGCCTTCGAGCCAGCTTACGCCGTCGTCTTCGGCCAAGGTCATCTGACGTGGGAGTGGCGCGATTTACCCCTTCCAGAAGGCGTTGCGCACACCTGGTGGACACGAGTAGTGACGGGAGGGAGGTTACGCGGATGGATATGGCCAGGAGTCTTCGTGCTGGCGTATAAGCTCGTCCAAGTGCTGGCGCTTGACTCCACAGACCTGATCGTGAGTGTTCGCCTCCATGTTCGTATTTGCCGGCTGAGACAGAAGGTCTTTGTACCACGGGTTGTTGGTGTGATCCTCGCGGCAGTTACAGACTACTACACCAGCCGCCTCGCGGGCAAGGTTCTCGGGGAAGGCTATGCGGCCGGTGCAGTGAGTGCGCTACTCTGGAGGGCACCAACACTAGCTTTTCTTGTCTCTCACATCGCTGTTCAATGCGCACCTTCTCCCACGCGCTTTGTCAACCTCTCCCGAAACACTGCTCACAACAATTGGGCTCTACTACTATCCTCTCCCCGCGTTTCGCCCAGCGTCGTTGGGCGCCACATGTGTACCTTCTCAAGACGGGACAGCGGAGCACCATGAAGCTCAGCGAACATGTGGTGCGATGGATAGAGCTGAAGGCGGCAAAACGAGGTGAGCTCTGTGCAACAGAGCTGTTCGCTGACCCCGAAGGCCTTCATCAGACAACATGTTATTTGCGGCCGCAGTAGCCGCGCTCTCCCTTTGCATCAGGCCAACGATGCTGGTGTTTTGGGCATACCTGCATCTGGAAACCTCTATTCGTCATTGGGTCACTCACGGCGCAACAGCCACGTTCTGTCTAACAGCGGATACTCTACTTGGAGGGTGAGCTGGACTTTCGGAAATGGCTGAGACGTCCAGACTGACAGTTTTGGGGCTGTCAACCTTGCTTGATTGGCACATGATGGGAAGGCTTACCATTCCCACCTTAAGCTTCTTCCACCAGAACGTGGTGCGCAATGTTGCGTTGTTCTACGGCGGGACAGGTTTACTGTACCATCTCGTTCAATCCCTCCCTCTGCTGCTCATGCCGATCTGGTTCTGGTGGGGCGAGGGGTTCCTCGCTGCTATCCTTCCTCAGTCCATGCAGCCACCAGCGCTCAAGAAACTGGACATCCCCTTGGCCCTCAGCACGTTAGGTCGGACAATTGTGGTCACCATAGCCACGTTATCACTATCCCCACACTCCGAATGGCGTTTCCTCCACCCATTGCTACCGCCACTTATGCTCTTCGCGCTTCCACCACTTCAGGCTTCCTACAAGCCCACTCCAATGGGATACCACAGCTTCCTGACATCTGTCCGGCAGTACTGCCGCCTCCCCTCGCGACCGTGTTATCTCATCCTTCTTTGCCCCATAATTCCCTACCTCTACCTTAACTCCTTTCATGGTGCTGCCCAGGTTGCCGTTATCAATGGCCTCCGGCACGGCGATTTTGGAGCAGCCTCGTTCGTCGTTGCGCTCATGCCGTGCCATTCCACCCCTTGGTCTAGCCATCTGGGCAACATCCCTGGATGGTTCCTCACCTGCGAGCCACCTCTAGTCCCACAGAGCGCCGACGTGCATTGGACGCAGCAAGATCTCTTCTATGCGTCTCCCGTCACCTACATTCAACATGTCTTTCCCTCACCACCGGCCAAGCTCAGTGATGTCCCGACGATGGCTGGGGAGGAGCGCATGCCTTCACATGTGCTCGTCTTTGGCGAAGTTCTGGCAAGGCAAGACACGCTTGGCAATTCGTCGCTTTCCGTGGAGCAGGCATTGGCCGAGCGAGGATATCACGAGAAGGCGAGGTTGTGGAACGGTTTCGACTTCGCTCAGGATGAGGAAAAGCGGCGCGGTGGCGTGCGCGTGTGGACACATGGTGAGAGTTATGACCTCGTGGGGGAGCCCGCAGCATAAGATGACAGGACGGTTCAGTGTGACATAGGCGGGTCTTCTGAATGTTCATGCCGGAACACGGCAGCACGGGACGCAACCAACGTTGGCATACATGAATATATTGAACTACGAATGTCACGACGCCGACGGCTGACTGGTAAGCGCTGCAATCAAGACACAAGAAGAATCATTGGAATGGGTCAGACATAGGAGGTCCTCTTGCGAGGAAGGTTCGATTCCAGGGGAGTTGTCGACATGCATGGATGCGAAGAGGGAGTCCCAAGTTCATCAGGAGGAGAAGAAGCAGGGCACGGGATGTAGACACTCACGCAGTAACAATTCGCAATCAGCATATCATACGCAGCTTAGCGAGTCTTGAAGTAGTCGAGGAGAACCTGCAGGCCGGCAGTCTCGGCACCGTAGTTGGTGACAACAACGCACGAGCAGCCGACGACCTTACGGGGCTTGCCGTCACGGTCGATCTTCGAGAGACCGGCCCACTGGCCGAGGACCTTGGCGTCCGAGACCTTGATGAGCTGGATGTTGTGCTCGGCGCAGAGGGCCTCGATGAGCTTCGAGTACTCGGCTGGCGCGTCAGCGGGAGCCCCTCAAATCTTGCGCGACTTCGAGTCACACTCTAAGTGCTTCTAGCCTCTCAAGGACCAGGAGCTCGCTCACCTTCGGTGACAGTCTCGACGAGGACACAAAGGTGGGCCTCACGCTTGTCGAGAGCCTTGGCCGACTCGCGGAGACCACGGGCAAGGCCATCGTGGATAAGGGCAGTCTACGTGCATTAGCTGTGCGTCCCAACTCCACCTTCCAACTGCAACATACCTTGATCACCTCCTGAAGGGCATCCTCGACCGACATGGGGCCCGAGTTGTCGGCGACCTGCTCGACCTGCTCGACCTGCTCAACGTTGGAGGCGGTTTCCGATCCGGCGTCAGACATTTTGAATGGTCTTCTTCCACCGTTTTCTAGTGAAGTAAGGTAAAAGGAGTTGAATGGGTTGAAGTCAACATGTGCTGAAGCGAGGCGTTCGAAATCCGGTGGTGCAAAAACTCCGTCGGTGTTACAACAGAATCTTATGTGGCAATTTGTCACGTGACTGAATCATCTGGGTCACGTTCACTCGGCGACTTTTGCGGCTGTCTGTGGACAGGCAACCGAAACAATACATTGTGTCTCCGTCACCGCTATACCTGGGTTACACTAAACTATCATTGGGATGGACAATCGGCATTGGGCCATTAGATGCTAATATCACTCTCCGTCACCTTCCTGCAGCGACTCAGACAGGCAGTAATGCACTTGGCGTGGACGAAGACTGGTGTTAGCCAGGCATCGTTTGAGCACCTCACTGCCACAGCCGTCGCAATGGAACCCGGATCGTGGGTTTAACCGTTTCGAGCAGACCATGCACTTTTCTCTCATTCGTGCGAGAGTCCGCGGCAGAAGCACGCGAACAAGATTGGCAGGGACTAGAACTATCAGCTGTCTTGCAGGTGGTGGCAGCTTACATGACGAGGTGATTCGCTTCGCACTCAAACCCCCAGCGGTCGTGTTTAGAGAGGCGAAGTGATGGGAGAAGTTACCCCCATCACTCAGAGGGCACAGAGTTAGGAGAGGGGCCGCACCACACGACAAGTATTCTGTGCCCCCGTTAACGTCCAACCGGCAACTTGTGTCATCCGGCGATTCGGGCAAGAGTAGCGTATTGGAGCATCCCTTCGGCACCCCTCGCACAGTTCTGGTCGAACTGACCTCTTCTTCGGAGTGGGTGAATGGCATCACCGCCATGACAGCCAGGGAAGCGTGAGAGGAGTCTGCTGCGGACATCATGATATCACAAGCTGCAGGCGTGAGACACAAGATAAGGCGGGAGACACACTCACACCTCATCTCGCTGGCAGTGTTGTAGAAGAGATTAGAGGAACAGCCGCCTTTCGCTGGCGATGGAAGAAGGCAAGCGCTGGCACCCATTCCGTCGATAACAATGTCGAAGTCGTTCAGCGCCTTGCGAGATAACCTTTCAAGAGTAGCGTCGTCCTGGGACAGCACTTGGTCATCGATGTGTGCCTCCGCGTCGTCGTCACTGGAGAAGTCGAAGAGAGGCATTGCTCGCTTGCCTTCGCGGCGAAATGGCAATTCCGAGCATTTGTAGTCCACTTCATCTGACTCCATAGCCTGAGCCTCAATGGCTCGCAAACGGTGAATAATGTCGGGGAGCGTCGGCCGGTCCTCCGCCGCGAAGCTGCAGCACTGCAGCGCTAGGTCGATGAAGCCCGGAGGACATCCCGGAGACGCATGTCGACGCACGGCATCGGGGTCAGGCGTGATAGCTGGAGCCTTCCGGGTGTATACCTTGGCCCCCACAACGATACGAGTAAGAATCTCGATAAAGATGATGCCAAGCGAGTACACGTCGGTCGGCAGATCAAAGTTCTCTCCCATGACGATCTCTGGACTCATGTAGCCCTACCAGGTCAGTCTGCCTCTTGTCTGCGCGTCGGCTTACGTCTGTTCCGCAGTAAGTGAGATTCTTCATTTCCTCCTCATTGCGAGAAGTGATCCTTGCAAACCCAAAGTCGCCGACCTTGATCCGACCATTGCTGGAGATGAGAAGGTTCTCGCCTTTGAGGTCTCTATGAATGCACTAGGGTGGTTGGCTGTGGTACGCATCATGTGCGGTGACTCACCTGTCGGGCGTGAAGGTACGCAACTGCACACGCTATATCGGTGGCAAATGACAGTCGTCGACGCCAGGGGAACGGGACTGTTGAGCGGATAAGGCTGCGGAGGTTTCCACATGGTACGAACTCCGACACAATGCTGGGGAGGTCAGCACCAGAGCGCATCACACTACCGCACAAGACTCGGCCTTCGCCACTCGGTTCCCTGCAGAGCCCAAGAAAGAGCACGATATTAGGATGTCGACACTCCCTCATTATTCTCCATTCGCGCTCAAAATACTTATGGACCTGCTGGTTAGTCATCGGACATCGCCTTCCATACATTGTACTCCGTCGACGAGTGAATCTCCTTGATTGCGATATCCACGCCAAGATATTGACCAGCCGTCAGATATTAAGACCGAGGGACAACCCACCCTTGAAGACAGACCCGAAACTACCGCCGCCGATGCGCTCGCCCCAGACGATGTCTTCGTACTTGACAGTTAGACTGGCTCTCAGAGGCCATTCACTCACTGGTACCACGTCAAAGTCCATGCTCATCAACTTCTGGGCGCTGCCTCTCTTAGTTGCTTGGTAAACACAAGGCACGTTCGGGTTTCTCGTTGGCAGTAGCAAGAACGCAGTGAGATGTGCCACAAACGATTACCTGGATGAATGACGATGAAGAACAATGTGTGGAAAGAGACGAAGAGGACTGTGTAGTAAAGGTAAACATGTATCTCTCTCAGTTGTTGACGATGGCGCGCAGGCATGACAGGGCCGTAAGGGAGGGTGAGCGTGATGAGACTGTGAGTGTGGAGACCTAATATGAGCGCCATTGAGTGACATGAGTCACGCAGAGTGACGACCATTCGCGCGAAGGGTGTGGTGGCCATGAGGCGGCAGCCACCTCGTGCAACGGAACAGGGTCGAGGATTCATGAAGAGCGGATTATTGGCGTGACTGGCTGGGCCAACCAACGTCTCAGCGGCTGTGACGCCCTTGGCGAGCAATAAACATTGCTGGTGGCGTTCAAGCTTTCAAGGATGTACACTTGTCACTGTGAGAAGGATGATGAGGAGAGAGGTGATGGGAGGCATGGGAGGGGTGGACTTACTTGAGTGCGATCATGGGAAGCGCGAGACGGTCCCATCTTGGTCAGTTCCGCCGGAAGTGACGATTGCGTCATATCGTGGTAAGCACACCCATGTGATCACCTCAGCAACTCACTCAGTGCGAAGCGGAATTCATCGCCTCCTTCGCAACATCGCAACTCTCTTTCACACACACTGCCTATCACTTTCAACATGTCTTCATTTGATGCCCTGCTCCCCTTCTATCCCGACATCGGAGCACCATCCGCGACTTACTCCACTGCAGGGCTGGAACCGCTATCTTACGAACTGGACCCAAACGGCGATGGCAAGAGCGTGAAGAACCACCCTCGCCCAGACGGTGTGCTCAGTCCATTCTACGAGAAGATATGGCATGGCGACGACGGCAATGCAAACTCGAAAGCTTGGGTCGATTTCCACATCTATCATCAGGTGAGAGCCTATGTTCTCTTGGACTTCACTCACTCCAGCCCAACAATCCCAATCATGTCAAATACGCTCACAAGCTGTATGAGGCTGTCCGCCGCGAATTTCCAGAGCTGAGGATGTACCGGGTGCGCCGAGCAACGACCTTCATATGCGGAAGCTGACTGCAGTTCTTTGACAAGCCCCTGGGCCCGCACCCGATACCCATGTTTGAGGTGAACGTGTTCACGCCAACCCAGCTGGGCGCTCTCTTTACATGGCTCATGGCGAACAGAGGCCCATGCAGCGTCCTTATCCATCCGAATACCGGTGACGACGTTGGGGATCATACGGAGAGGGCGACGTGGATGGGTGAACGGGTCCCTCTGGATGTTGATTTACTACGTGCAGTGGATGCTATGCGAGCCCAGGAGGGATCCACGTGAACTTGTGATGCACATTCATACTGCAAGATAACCAGGTCTAAGTAGGATGGGCTTGATTAGTCGCTGGGCGTTCCCCAGTGGATTAAGCGAGGTCTCGACACTACTAAAGGAAAGGTACGACCTGCTGAGGTCGCTGGGTCACCTGAATGAACCTCGAAGGTCTATGTTCAGATATTAGACATTGAAGTGATGACAGCAGCCTGCCCAGCCGAGTTTCCGGGTGCCATTATGTGCTCGCTACCACCAGCTGACGACGAGGCGATTTGCTTAGCAACCTGGCTGTCAAGGCCGGCTGCACCCATGGCCTCGAGATTCATGGGCACTGTTGGATTAGTGACTTCGTTTTCAGAGACAGAGGAGACGTACCGAAGATGACCTTTGAACCAGCGCTGCGTGACATGGACTGAAGGGCCTCTAGCTGGCGGATCTGCATAGCGGCAGGCGAGGCAAGAATATCGGCCGCTTGACGCATAAGCTTAGCGGCGTCGACCTCTGCGCGGGCAGCAATGACCTTGCTTTCACCGATACGCTTCTGAGTCGCAGCCGACGATAAGCTCTGCTGCAACTCAGCCGAAAAGTTGATGTCCTTGAGAAGGATGGACTCAATAGAGACGCCCCACTTCTCGGCTGTCGTTTCGATAATTTCGGCAACCTCCTGCGCAAGACCTTCACGGTCCGAGATCACACTCTGAAGGACCCGACCGCCGACAACCTGGCGAAGAGTCGTCTGTGCACGTTCAACGAGCGCCCCCGCTAGGTTGTTAATGCCGAAGGCGGCGCGATAGGGCGACACCACGTGCCAGGAGATGACAGAGTCAATTTCGACCGAAACGTTATCTTTTGTTTGGACAGTCTGGCGAGGAACAGTTGTGAGCTGAATCTTGACGTCTACAGGTGTTAGGCAGGTAATATTCAGAGGCCGGCAGCACTCACCGACAATACTGATGCTCTCAGAACAGATGTTGACCTCAACCAGGCCAGGATCAACGGACTTGTAGAACTGGCCGAAGCGGCTGATCAAGCCCACGGAGCCCTGGTGGACCTCCTTGTACGGGTTTGGAAGGGGGCAGCATGGAAACTGGCCAAGCATACCGATGCAAGAGCCTGCCCGATCAGCTCACGTCCATCAATCAGAGAACGGCAATGCACCCGCTCAACACGTACCAAGCGAAGACAACATATTGCCGTAGAACCCGTGCTGAAGCGTCAGCAAACTCGCAGAGAGGGGTAGGCACCGTGACAGATCCGGAGCCAAAGTCTTGCGCGTATGAAGGTTGCATGCTGGAGGAGATTAGTTGTGCTATCATTGGTGGCCACCACACGGCAAAGGCGACTCACTCGGACTTGCGCAAAGGCTGCACTGTCTTAACAGTTAGCGTATATTGACGGAGACGCGCAGAGCACGCACCAGGATGGGGCCTCCGTCGTTGGATGGACCAGCCACAGACATTTTGCCTGTGCGCGGCATCTCATCGGTCACATAGCGGTGCATGTCCTCTGAGTCAGACTGGTCGTGGCTGTGGAGAGGCTGAGTGGAGTTGTGGGAGCCGCCACTCTTGAAGTCGTTGGCAGCGGACATATTGACTGTTACAGGTGATGACTCGGAAGGGAGAAGTCGAATGAGCTTAGTGTGGGAAGATAGAAGTGAGGATGGTTGAGCTGGTGGCGATGGTTTATTTATGTGACGACGTGCCGGGAACAGCGCAGTAATGGCTGTTCTTGGCATCCCTGGGTAGCTGGCCAAAGCTGGGTCCGAGCAGACGCGAAGGAATCCGACTTCTTCGGGCAGGCTGCCAGCTGCCGGACGGGCGCCCCGAGCCTGCGTACGGCGCCGCCCTAACGTGCCCACGTACATGATCACATGACATGGAGGGGCATGAGAGGCAACGACGGACTCGGAGGTGTTCGCGACGTTCCGCGTAATTCGGGTCATGCCTCTAAGGCACTCCAATCCTTGGCACGGGTCCTGTAGTCTGGACAGCTAGCGGACAGACTGCTCATCTGCCTCGAACCAGCACAGCCCCAACCACTAGGGGCAGTATAATTACATTGCTTCTGGCATATTCACACAAGGTGTGCATGAACGAGGGGGTCCTGTCAATCCAGTTCAGCGATGTGCTCGGACGTAGCGTGATCCCATAACCTGCGCAGCTTGAGTTACCTGGATGTGGAGTTGTTGACATCACTATGCGCGCCAATTCGCCGCCGCCGCCATGCTCCAGGCACAGTAGCTGCGGCTCGGCTGATCAGCTGATCCGGGGGTCCTGGCATGCCTCGCGGATCGCGGAACTGGCCGCAATGCAATGCCGGATGTTGAAGCATGCACACATGTGGTCCACGAGTTCGGGCATCTACGAATAGATGCAGAACGAGCATTGTCCACACACTCATCACATTCACACCACCACTCATCATATTATCATAGTCCAACACCTTCGCATCGCACCATACACCGCCCTGCATACACTCTCCCGATCCCACTTGCATCGCAGCCGCCGAGAACCGTCAGCTGCCAGCAGGTTCTAAACGTCAATTGACGGCTCCCTCGGCAAGGTCGGCAACCGCCTCTCCCCACCACAAGTTCGCACCAGGTCGAAGTGACGTCGCAGTCTGAAGTATGCGCCTCTCGAGCCTAGTACCTCTGCTGCTGTGCACCGCCCTGTGTCCTTCCATGGCCTTGGCGCAGTGAGTATCTGCACAGCCTCCGTGCTAAGGTTGGTGCTGAATCGCTCGCAGGGAAGGTGACAATCTGCCAGCAGCTGGCATGCGGGCACTTGTTAAGAATATCTGGCAAACGGTTATCAACGGTGGCAGCAAGCCACTTGACATCGCCGCTCGTACCAAAGCCGACGCGGATGCGGGTATGACTCGCATCACCGACGAGAACTATGCCATCATCTTCTCTCAGAGCCGTCCTGATGATGTCTGGGTAGTTGCTGTGTAAGTAATGGAGAGGTTTCCGCTGAACTCAGCCACGGACGTGACGACGACATGATGTCCAATGCCTACTTGGAGACGCATGCCAATGCAAGTGCTCTTTTGAAGGGTAACGCGACCATTGCGGATAAGGCGGAGCGCATCAAGTTTGGCCGCTTGGATTGGATGACAGACTGGGTCCTTAGCACGCGCTGGGTCTTAACCAAGTGAGTCTATCCACCCGCGCACACTGCTCATGCCAAGACCGCCATACATTGTGTTCGTCTCCGACAGTGGCCAAACATTACGGTTCGCGGCGCCTCCTCGCCTGCCTGCCAACGGGACGATGCTCTACGCTGTACTTGCAGAGGGATATTGGATGAATCTCGCGCCCTGGAATGGCAGCCTCGCCCCCGGCGGTGACCTGTAAGTTCTCTTCGTCCACACTTCAAAAGCTGATTTGTAAAGCGCGTACCTTGTCGAGGCTTACATCTCGGGTCATCAGCATTTGTCCAAATACACAGCATTGGCTCCGAAGTGGATATGGCTTGCCCTGCCTGTCGTGGTCACGACAATCGGGCAGCATATAATGGCCTGGCTTCACAGCGGCGATGAGGACGCACAACGTCAGCGCGAAACTGCGCGCCGCGCTACTGCTCATGCTCGCAAGCCGGAGTCGGAAACACGGGCTTCGTAAAAGGGGTGCAGCGTTCGCGTACAAGCGACCGCATAGAGGTCTTTGACTCAACATCGCCAGAAGGCATGCCTTAATTATATACAACATATCTGATGATGAGACAGGAGTGGGCAGTCATTTGTCGGCAGGCCGTGCCCACGGGCGTTGGGCCAGCTCTCCTGACGCGATCTCCACAATCATGAGGCGACGGAAGAACGACATATTCGACTGTTTGAACTCGAATTTGGAGCCGATCAAATCGCGTCCGCGCCCTGCTGCTTCGAGAGTCTGGCAGGCGAAGACGCCGCAATCGTTGACATTGTCCTGTTTGGGAGTACCCTGCAATGTCAGGATCGGGTTAAAGTATTCTCGACGTACCGGGTTGTATGCGTCTGTCCAGGCTGAGAGGTCCAATGCAGTTCCCTTCTTCTCCTTGTGTTCGGCCTTCAGGTAATCTCGAAGGTTCTGACGCGTCTCAGTAACCACAGCACGGAGCGCCACTCACCTGGAAGACTTGCATCCTCCTACCACTGTCGTGCATTGAGTCGTAATATTCGATCCGTTTTCGGCGGAAGTCCACAACAGCACAGACCCAGTGGGCATTATTGTGGTTAATTGGAATGAGCATCTTGTGAAGTGTGAATATATCAAGCTTGAACTGAACATCAGCATGGTGGATAAAGCGGACCTCACCCTCTTCGTCCAACGCTTAAGATTGGCCCCCACATATCCCTGTTCAGAGAGCTTTTGGTAGAAGAACGAGTTCCAGCAGTGCACTCGGTCGCTGTGGTCACCTTTCGCCGTCCTGGCGTTGATGAGCTGGGCGTAGCAGTTGACAACCTCGTCGTTCAGCCATTGGCCAGGCCGCAGGCGACGAATAGATGTGGCATTGATTTGCTCTGCTCCAACATTGGCTTGGAAATGCGGGTCGCGCAGTGTGTCGTCCGCCTATGTTTGGTTAGATCGAGGTACTGCTTAGGTACTCACGATGACATCTTGGCTGGGAGCGAGTTTACTCGGAATAGGCGGACCAGCACGTGCAAGTGCGATCTTGATCTTGCCTTCCGTTACGACTTTCTCAATTTGCTGCCGCCTGTGTAAAGGACTGTCGAGCCTACTGTCAGTTGTTGCCCTTCGTCTCGGCTTACGGCTCCCACAATGCTGGGATGTCGCGCTTCTGGTGGGGACGGACAAGGGTAAACTGAGCCATCAGCCAGAGCATACGGAAGATACCAACAGATGACTGCCGCGGGGCCGACGCTTCGTCCAAAGTCTTGCGCATGTCTGAAGTGAAGGCGCCGAGACCCTTTGACGAGCCTGCTGATTGCCCCGTGCTACGAGCACGATGAACTGGATGTCAGCGGATGTCCGAACATAGAGCTAACGCTTCATCGGTGAAGTGCGAGACTGCTCTGTCTGCATTTCTCCTTTGACTCGCTGGAAAGCGGCAAGATCCCCGTTCGCTCCTGCGTTCTTAAGTTGCTGCATGTACTGGTCCAGCATGTCCGATTGACTGCGGTCATCGGCGTTCCTTAAGCTCTTCTTGCTCTTCGAATGATGCTTTGATGGAGAACGACGTCGAGTAGGTGGGCTAGAGGAGGCCGATAAATCACTTCTGGAGGAGCTCGAGGACAAGGAGCGCTCCCAGCCATATCGCCTAATGGGCCGGTCCGTACTGTCTGGATGACGGTAGAGGTGGGGCGCGCTTTGGGATGCGGACGACGGTGTCTCACGAGAGGCAGAGGGGACTGATGCAAGCCCAAACCTCGTCTTGAAAAGTGCCTCATCCAAGTATGGATGCAGACTGCGCGGAGATCCAGGTCGCTCGTTCACCTCGTTGGCGTCGGCGTATGAGGCGAGGACATGGTCATTCAGCGTGGAGCGAGCAATGATCTGCTTTTCCCTCCTCCGCTGCGCCTCAGCAACTGCCTTGGCGGCTATGTCCTCATCAGCGTTGTCGGAATCGTCGTCCACGATCTCGATGATGCTGTTGTTCCTTTTCATCAGGGGGTGAGGGTTGCGATGCTGCCTGCGATGACGGGACTTCCTCGGTCGTGATGGGGAGGCTGCCGGGCTAGCGGCTTCGGAACCTGCTATGACATCAGACCATTGAATGGTGATGATTACCCACAATTCCACCAAGACATTAGGCGTTCCCCAATGTTACGGAGGAAGGAGGAACTCTGGACTGGTTCAGACCGCACAAGCGTGGAGTTGTCTGGTCTGTGGCGCTTCGCAAACCGATGGAAGGAGGGAGAATGGTCGCGCGGCCGTTTGTGTGCCGGCGACCCGTTCATCTGGACGAGGACACAGAAATGCGGGTCGAGGAGGACACTTGAGGAGGAGATATGGTTCGCAAAGATGCTAGTGGATGGAAGAGGTCTGAAGTGACGGGTCGAGAGCGAAGAATGTGAATCGGCTGGAGTGAAGAGGCGATCCGGCAATGGAACGGGGCGACGCCGGCGGAGGGATCGATGGGAGCAATGGGAAAGACGGGGGCGATGAGCCAATAATGCGAATGCGTGGATGCGAAAGAGCGAAGGATGGTAGTTGATGTGATCACTGCAGAGATCAGAGGCTTGTGGGAGGTGAACGAGCTTGCTTGAGCTGATGGTGGAGGGCGAGTTATGACAATATTTGATTCCGCCCATGACCATGCAAGTTGCCACTCGTCGGTCATGCCTCAGGATCAGGCTTCTGGTTGCTGGCAGTGCGCACCAACAGCATCCCACGGTTTGTTTACTCTCCGCCACTCCACTCACATCCCTCCTCACCACCGCGACATCTCTCAATCATCTCGAACTCTTCGTGCTAGACGCCCAGATACCCAACACGCAGACTCAAATCTCCAAACAACTGTGACACCGTGGATCCCCCTCCCTTCCCTCCCCCTTCCCACTCTGAACTCCACTTAACCCACCCCTCATCAACGCGCTTCGTTCCTTGGGCATTCTTCTCGACTCATTATAGCTCTGTGATACACTGCCTGAATGGCAGACATTCAACCTACAGCGTCGTCCTCGACCGACGCAGCGCCCGAAGAGATGGACCCCGGCCCCAGCTCCGCCACCTCCCACGAAGCCGCCCCACATGACAACATCGCTCCAGAGAGTGAAACCAGTGGCGGAGACGATATCGATACCATGAACGTGCAGCCTGACTCGGCCGATGACAGTGGGGATGACTTGTTGCTACCAGAGAATGATCACGGAGCTGGGAAGCGTGTCAAGGTAAGCTCGTCTGACCGCTAGCCAGCGCACGTCTGACGCCCATAGGTGTACGAGCTTCGCGATCAAGCATGGTTCGATCGTGGTACTGGTCACTGCAAGGGAGTTTATGACAACGACAATGACGTCGCGCTCCTTGTCGTGGAGGCGGAAGACCCTCAGTTGGAAGGCAGGCCAGGTGAAGAAGCAGAGGGGCCCGGGGGGTTCATTCGGGATGAGCTGCTTCTGCACGCGCAGGTGACCAAGGATGACCAGTACACCCGACAGCAAGGTGAGACAAGTGGAGGAGAGTTTCTGACGGGCGCAGAGACATTGATCGTGTGGACGGACCAAGCCACTCAGTTGGATATCGCACTGTCGTTCCAGGACGCGTCTGGCTGTGAAGGCATCTGGCAGTTCATCAGCGAAGTGCAGAAACACCTCCACAATCAACTTGGTTTGTACTCTCGCCAATGGCCCCCATCCTGACCTGCGCTGACCCGCAAGGTGACGATTCCAAGATGGGCATGGTCTCCTCTTCCTCTCCTATGGAGCCCTCTCCCGTACTCACGTCTTCAGTACCCGTTGGCACGGTAGCTCGCGATCACTGGCAACACCCGTCGCTCGCAAACATTAAGGAGCACGAGGTCTGGCTACGCATGCAGGCCAAGTCAGCTGCTGGCCGGGAGCGCGCTGTTGAGCACATCATCGGAGAGGTATGATCACTAACTGGGTGTGCGCTGAACGGCAGGACTACATCAAACAACTCATTGTTGTCCTTCACCAGGCAGAAGATCTGGAAAGCATTGATGATCTTCATGCCCTTTGCTCGCTTATGCAGACAATACGTGAGTGTTGTTGCTTCCAACACTGATCATGAAGTTATGTTCAACGACAACGGCATCTTTGAGTACATCTTGCAGGACGACATCTTTGATGGTGTTCTGGGGATGCTGGAATGTAGGTGTGAGCGTGAATACTGCTCACCTGTACAGACGACCCCGAGTTTCCCACACTCAAGGCGTCGTACCGCGCATTTTTCCGCCAGTATTCGAAATATCGCGAGGTGGTGCACATCAAGGACGACACAATACGCAACAAGATTCACCAAACATCTCGGCTTCTCTACCTCAAGGACGTTGTCCTGGCACGACTACTGGACGACCCTACTTTCAACATCCTGAATAGCTTCGTCTTCTTTAACCAGGTGGATATCACGTCCTACATTCAGTCAGATGATGCTCTCCTTCATGAGCTCTTTATCGACTTCCAACGCAATGAACCGGGACAGAATGCGATCAAGAAGCGTGATCTGGTGCAATTCCTGCACCAGCTGATGCTCATGGGCAAGGGTATGCAGGTTCCCAATCGCCTGGCTTTGTATCGCACGCTCGTCGATCGCGGCCTTATGTTTGCCTGCGAATGGGCTTTCCGGCAGCGCGAGGCGACAATTCTACACGGCGGTGCAGAAATCTTAACACTCGCGGTTGAGCACGACGTTAACGCCGTTCGCCTCCACGTTTTGAGAGAGGAGGATTCGTCAAGGAGGACGCTTGTCATGGAGATCGTTGGTCTATTGCAATCCACGCAAGACCAAGGCCTTATTCAGCAAACTGTGGAGACTCTCAAGATGCTATTGGAGCCAGGAGCTGATAATGAAGTGGGTACGATCCTCTCCAGGAGCTAATGTGCAGCAATCGTTCGCTCGAGCGAAGGACGCTTCTGTGGCGGAAACGTTCACGGGTTACTTCTACGACCACTGTGCGCCACAGCTATTTTCGCCGATCAGCAAACTGCCGGAGCTCAAGGATGTGAACAGTGCGTTTGGAGCAAGTGACGATCGCTCACATTGCTAGAGCCGCAGGTTCTGGCTCAGGAAAGAGCACCTTTGTTGACAACACTCGTCGACCTCTTATCATATTGTGTGGCCGTTCATGGGCACAAGGCGCAATACTACATCCTCTCCACGCCGTTGGCACTGCGCGTGTGCTCGCTGGTTTACGCCAGAGAGAAGACATTGCGCCATTGTGAGCATTTGAGGTGCTGTAACGGCTAACGTCTTCAGCCGCATTACGCTTCGTCAAGGCCTGCCTACGGACTAACAACCATTTCATCCATCGTAATTTTACGAAGAACGGCGTCACGAAGGCCATCATCGACCTCGTTGATCGGGAGACGACGCGCGACACGATGCTTAGCTCGGCATGCCTGGATACGCTGGAGCTGATCCGCAAGGTGCGCTAAAACATTTGAGTAGTGGGCTAACGAGAGCAGGAGAACATGAAAGCAATCATCATGGACATGTTCGACAAGCATGAAGCCTTGTTAAATCGGTTGACCGAACGCCCGTTCGTCCGCGCGTACATCCTTGGTCTCCGCATCAGGTGGGACCAGTTCAAGGAGCCTCCACCTCAACCGCCTCCGCAGGCTGTGGCTGAAGCCGCCAAGCGCACCGCTGCGGACGAGGAGGAGGCCTGGTTCAACCAATCGGACGACGAGGTAGACGGCAATCGGGATAACTCCACTCGCCATGTGCCTGTCAAGCGCAAGCGTGCGCCGCAAAGCGCCCCAGCTCGCAAACGTCTTTCGAGTGGAGGTGGGTCTGCTTTAGGACTCGACTACGATGATGCCTCTGACAGCGACGGGTCGGCTGGCGGAGAGTCGGCCGGCGGGGAGTCGCCCAAGGTCGCCCCTATCCAGACTGCCACAGCGGACAGCGAGTTAGCAGAGGGCCTCTCGGACGTCGAACAGAGGGTTCGCGCCAAACGGATACGGAAAGAGGAAGAGGAGGAGAGCTCCGCATTTTCGGAACTGATGGGTGGAGGCAACAAAGTTGCAACGAAAGACGGCAGCCCCGGGGGGAACAAAGTGGTGCATGGACATGAAGGAGGTAGCCCCGCAGGCAAAGACAAGAAAATACGACTGAGTCTCGGGGGTATTGGTAGGAAGTTCAGAGGCGGTAAGGTGTAACTTTGTTAGAGATGTACGATAGCGCAGTGCATGTGGACTTGGTCTCTATTGCTAACAGTCTCAGGACTGTCGATGTTCCTGTGCCTGACCCGAGGATAAAGAAATCGATAATGTCGGCGTTACGTATATGCCACGCTCGGCAATATGCTGAGACGGTCGGGATTTTGGCTAATTGGGCATGTCAATCCCAGAGGATTTGATCCCGCAGCTGGGCCCGTCGCCGGAGGGACGGTCGGTGCATGGCACCAGCGAGCTGCACTTGTTGGTACTATCCCTCAACCGTCAAGCCAAAAAAGTCGTGAGTTCTGCTCGACGAGCACGCATCGTTCGCATTGCTGACGCGCTTCACAGACAATGGGTGTACGTCCTCGCGCTTCCCGCGATCTCCGGCTTGCGTTCGCTGACTTGTAGCGTGTTATTCGTGCCCAGAGGAAGTCGGGTGGCATCTTCAAGGCCCACACCCACCACAACAAGAACCCCGCGCGTCACCGCAACCTCGACTTTGCCGAGAAGAACGGTTACGTCCGTGGTGTCGTTCGCGAGATCATCCACGACGCTGGTCGGTGAGTGGCAATTGCGCGCACTGTCAGATAGACGGAGGGAGGACTTGGAACGGCGGGGGCATGGCGAGAGGAGTGGATGGGGAGGCGCAATCGACTGCAGATTGGGGAGCAAGGAGGCGTCGCGCGATGAGATGAAGAGGGGCAGATTCAGGCTGCCATCGGCGCAAGATTTGCCCTGCACGCAAGCCTTGATACTGACGCGCAGTGGTGCCCCCCTCGCGACCGTCGTCTTCCGTGACCCCTACCGCTACAAGCTCCGCAAGGAGACCTTCATCGCTGCGGAGGGTGTCTCGACCGGCTCGTTCATCTACGCCGGCAAGAAGGCTGCCCTCTCGGTCGGCAACATCCTCCCTCTCTCGGCTTGCCCTGAGGGTACCGTCATCTTCAACGTTGAGGAGAAGATCGGTGACCGCGGAGCGCTTGCGCGCACTTCGGGCAACTACGCGACCATCATTGGCCACTCTGAGGACGGCAAGACCCGCATTCGTCTCCCTTCGGGCGCCAAGAAGACCGTTCCTTCGCGTGCTCGCGCGACCGTCGGTGTCGCCGCTGGTGGTGGCCGTGTCGACAAGCCCTTCCTCAAGGCTGGTCGCAAGTACCACGCCATGCGCGCCAAGCGCAACTCGTGGCCTCGCACTCGTGGTGTGGCGATGAACCCGTAAGTCAGACTGCCCAGGATCGTACTTACCGAAGTGTCGACCACCCCCACGGTGGTGGTAACCACCAGCACATTGGTCACGCCTCGACCATGGCTCGCGACGCCAGCGCAGGTCAGAAGATAAGTTTCCCGCAAAGAGTTTATGCTGATACCTTACGCCGGTCTCATTGCTGCCCGCCGTACCGGCAAGAAGCGCGGCACCATCCAGGTCAAGGATGCGTAATCGCGCACGACTTCAAGACGAGCATGGGCGCTATAAGTGCTCACGGGCGCAATCGACGGGAGCGCTTGCACATTGGCATCCCTCACCATTTGTACATTCTGGATGCAGATATCGGTGGAGGACGGTTTTTGGGTTTGGGCCATTGTGTTGGCCCAACGACTTGTTGTGAGAAACTTCGGTCAATGGTCTGGACCGTAATCTGCTCTTGCTTTCTTTGTCACATGCGTTTCGTCAAAACATTTGGGTGGTTGAGATTTAGGAGCGTTCCAAGTCAATAACAGTCCGCGCCCTCGACAGTACATCCATCCTTGGGCACGGCCCCTGCGGCTTGTGCTTGTGCGCGGCGATCATTAGCGGGACTACGCCTCGCGGCTTACGAACAAATCTTGACGCCTGACGGGCGTTCTGCCAATATTTCGTTGAGGCACAGTTCGACGCCTCTGGTGGGGCTCCGGTAGTTTGGGCCGGTGTGGTTGTGAACGAATGCGTAAACTACCAAGAAGCTCTTTAAGGGCGAGTGATGCTTGCTCTGTTCGACATGAGAGGCAACCAACGGCCAACGGGAGGGCGGGGGGGGGGGCACCAACCAGACCAGGTCATGCTTCTGTGGAGGAAAACAAAGGGGATTCTCTACACTTCTGTCATGCCGGGATGGCTGGTGTGAGATCTCGCACTTGGCTGCGAATGCGCTCGTCTGAGTGTGTGAACAAGCTGTAGCATCCAGCGGTGGTCGGCGTAGAGTGGAGGAGCTATCGGCGCCGTAGGATTGTTGGCCAAAGTGACTGACGACACCACAGCGGAGTGCCTTTCCCCGCCAACCACGCAGACCGCCACTTTGCCGACACCCTGCCATATGAACATCTCTTGTGAATCCTGAAAATACAAACGGCTGACGACTTTCAGCACAGCGTAAAGGTGGTAGTTACCTGCAAGTGGATATTGATCACTGCATCCTCACTCTACAACAAAGGTATCGCCGTGAACGAGACAAAGCCAATGATCGCGCCCACAGCCGCCACAGCCGCCCATAAACCTCCGGACCCCCGCTTCTGGGCTGCCCCCAGACGTCGGAGGGGGTTGATGGGCCCGCTCGCTCCGACCGTGGAGTCAAACGTACCCGCTGCTCTCGTGCCGCTTCTCCCGTCTGTCTGCTGGTACACGACGACCGAGTTGACGATCATGACGGTGTTGACGAGATTGGCTGGGTCTGCAACACGCTCTACGCACGTTCCAGGGCATCCTGACGCGGCATAAGTGGATCCCGCCCAGTCGCCTGGCGTTAGCTACGAGTGGCAAGCGACGTACCACACAAATTGACGTTCATGATGATGACTTGCGCCTGAAAATACGTGTACGGGTCACACGTCGCGCGGTCGAACACGGCGACGGGGTTTCCCCACGCCAACGGCGTGGGGTTACGAGCGACAACGTCGCGTGGGACGGCGGAGCGCGGCCAGTTCCACATTTTGAGCCCCGCCCCGTCCCAGAGCAAGACGAAGACGCCGCCGCCGGCAAGGTTGAAGCCCGCGCCGTAGCTGATCTCGCTGTCGCTCCGGATCGAGCAGCCGACACTGCCCGCGGACGAGTCGCAGTCCTCGTTCAGCCGCGTGCCGGAGTACGCGGAGCCGGAGCCGCTGAGCATGCAGCCCGGCGCGGTGTGGATCGTCATCTGGTTCTGGCGGGGGTCGTGCACGCCCTCCTGTCGTCAGCGGGAAATGGGGATACTGACAATAATGTCGATTTCGCCCTTGCGTCAGCGTTTCAACGGCCGCTCAACAAGAAGAACAAGCGTGGGCACGGAGCCACTGAGCATGCGACTCACGGCATAAGGCCAGTTATTTCCTGTTCCGAGCATCCACACGGCAGGCCACACGCCACACCCGTGTGGCAGCAGGGCCATGTCGAAGATGAACAGCCCGCCCGCGAACGCGTTCTTGCTGACAATCCGCACGCTCCGCCGCTTCTCGCCGACAGGCAAGCGCTTCCAGTGCTCAGCTTGGATGCCGGGCGTACCGTTTTGCGTCCAAAACGCCAGGCCGTCGCCGAAGGCTTGGTCGCGCGGGACGTACTGCACCACTGGCGTCAGTGGCAGGCCGTCAGCGACGCTTGAATATCACCGAGCCTAATAGTGGGTGCTGTGGGACAAAGGGATGGCGAGTAACAGGGGCCAGCGGGCGACACTCACTCCCATGGTTTGGGTCTGGTCGTCAGCTACATATGGAACGGTGTACCTTCTGCCGAGAAAAAGTCGAAGCTGGCATCAGCGAAATGACGGCGAAGAAGCGTAGGACAGCAAGAAGGGGTCACGAACACGTAAAAGGAGGGGGCAGACTTACTTGTCAAAGAACGTCAAGCCCTCGTACGCGGCCTTCAGCGCCCAGCCCAACTGTCGCGTATCGTGCGCGAGCGTGCCGTTGAGCTGGGAAACGAAAGTGGCGTTAGAGGCGCTGGCACACGCTCTGAAAGCGAGGAGACAGAGGAGGAGCAGCATCGTGAGATGAGTGACGTTAGAGAGTCAGTCTGTGCATAATATGTGAAGAGACGAGTCCTGCTGATGCGGGCATGGGGGGGAACAGGTGCGAACAAGGTCTCGGCGGTGTGTCGGACGCCAAGGGCCGTATCGATTCTTTCACGCGTTCATGGTGTGTGGCGAACCACAGGCGGTGATGTACCCAAACCCCCGTCGCGTTAGCACGCGAAGCCCCGACGAGAATCACGTAGGCCTGGTCCGAAGAAGCACCCCGTCATCCGTGGCTTCGGAGCGGACTGACCCTTGCCTCCCCCCACAACCCTCCCCGTGACACCCCGCAACGAGGACGGCAGCTCATCAGCATCGCCGCCAGCCTCCCCCACGCATGCACCATACGCTGCACATTCTGAATCAGACACTGCCACTCTCGTTCTCTTGCATCCACCATCCACCCACTCGCGCACAGGCCCTTCTATGCTATTATACAACTCTACAAGGGCACAGCACACAGCACACTTCATGGCCTACTCCTTCCGCTTCCGGCCCTTCGGTGTCGGGCTGCTCTGCTCGCCTGCCGGCCCCGTTCCTAGCGGAGAGGGATCAGCTGTCGCAGGCTTCTTGTCGAAAGCACCAGTCTTACGAAGCCACCTGAAGTCAGCGCCCATCGCGGCCATGTCACGCACCTCTGTCGAACTTGGTGATAGCTTCGCGTTGGCACACATTTGCTGACCAGGTCCCACTTCTCGCCGTGCTCCATCACCGCGCGCGTGAGCAGTTCATCCTATGGATCAGCACGTGTTGCAAGAGCAAAGCAATGTTGCGAGGCATTTGGACTCACCTCCTCCTTCGTCCACTTCAGATACGGAGAGCGCACCCGGCGCGCTGGAACGGTGCTCGACAAGTGAACATACTTGCCGAGGCCTGGAACAGCCGCGCCCGTAGGGCTTTGGAATGCACCCGGGCTGCCGCCAACAAACGGATTGTCATGACCGGGCGGGAAGTGAGATGGAGTAGCGCGACTATCCAAGTTGATGGCCGGGCCGAGCGGAGTCTCACTCCGACTGCCGTGTGCACGGTAAGCGTGTCGAGAATCGCCCTCCATTGCGCCTCCCAGCCGGGCAGCGGATGACAGGCCACCGCCCGACGAGCCCTGCGCGACATCCTGACTGGCTTGGGCGAGTAAATCCAGTGCCGACCCGCCTTCACCCCGATTTGGTGATCCGTCACCCTCTTTGTTGATATGACGTCGCGTTGACCACTCGACTGTAGCTGGAGGCTGTCGCTTTGACTTTTTAGTCGGGCTCTGCATTGCCGTAGCTTCCCATAATGATGTGGTGCGGGCGCTCGACATGTTATTGGGCACGCTGCGGCTGGGTGTCGGTGGACGCGTAGCCATTTCGGCGGCAAGCAGGAGGTCATTAAAGTTGCTCCCACCAGGTGTTGTTTGAGGCGCCTGTTGGGCGGTGCGTGCTCGGGACGGGGTGGTTGGCGCGTTCCGTTTGACCTTCTTCTGACGGGGAAGGAGGGGCGTGCCAGTCGACTTGGCGGTCGAACTGGGGCGGTGGTAAGCGGGCGTTGCGGTCGACGTCGATGGTTTTCGGTCGTCCTCGTCACTGGGCAGCAGCTCATCCTCTTCTGGCAAGCCACCATATCCCTCCGAGTAACTAAGGCCGCCGTCGGGCCCGACTACGCCCTTGCGCTGCAGCTCCTCCAGGGTCAGGAGACCAATGTTCTTGTTCTGTTGACGCATGGAGCGGACTTTCTTCGCTGCTAGTAGCAGGTGCTCCGCACGAGCATCACCCATTACGGCCTTGCTCATACGCGCGGGCTTCGAGGGCTGCGCGGGCGTGCGCTTTGTCGCCGAGCTCGTCCCTGCCGTCGGCGTCTGATCGATCCGTCGTTCCTGCTCGTCGTGCTCCTGCTCCTCAGTGAAGGCGCTGGTCTGAAGCATGACGTGGGTGCGTAGCACGCGCAACTCGTGGACCAGCCTTTCAATCTGTTGCTGGGTGTCGACCAACTGGGACGTCAGATACACACATCGAGTCATGATGAACCCACCCGTGGCGCCATGAGGCGGTTGTCCATTTCCAAACGCTTGTTGGCCGCTTCGAGGTCTCGGTGGTAGTTTACGTCCAAGTCCAAGATACCCTTTGACTTTGAACCTGCAGCGATCTCAGCCTCTCGTGTCCTTATGAGGGCGTCTGTCTGCGCTTGCCAGCCTGTACGCTCCGAGATGAAGCGGTCGCTGTGGTTAGAAATGAGAGATCGCCGGCCGGGCGACCGTTGGTCGGCGGCACTCACCGCTCAATGTCAACCAAGGCCTTGTCGAGCTCTAGCTTTTGTTGAAGCTCGGCAATTGTCGCCTGCTGATCCACAATTTGCTGCCTGAGAAACGGGACACGACTCAAGTAATCTCTCAAGAGAGTTTTGAGCTAGAGAAAGGATTAGTATAAAGACCTGTGTTTTACAGTGCGGCGAGTCAACTTACCATTTCAGCAGTCGTGTCTCCGTCCGGGGCATCATCTATTGCCCGTTTCATGGCCTCGAGGGTGGCGGGAGGAAGGTCGTCGACTTGAGCGTCACCATCCGCGAGACCATCACCGTCATCGCTCCCGCTGGGAGAGAGAGGAAAAGGGTTGGTGGGGGATGTGCGCTTGTCGTGGACAGAGGGAGGTTCAATGTCCATGTCGTCACTCATGGCATGTGTGAGGTGAGGCCTGCTGGGTGGTTGGCGGAGGGTTGAGGGGGTTGGGAGGGAGGTGCAGGGGGTCTGGGGAAGCGGGGGTGTGAGTGGAGAGGAGGAGAGTATGGATGCTGGGCGAGAAGATGGGGGCGGGGTTGATGGGTGATGATGTTGAGGATGGAGAGGTTGAGGCATGGATGGATGAATGAATGGATGGATGGAGTTGAAGTGAGGTTGATGGAGAAGAGGAGGTGTTTGGAGAGAGATGATGAGATGGATGAGAGAGAGAGAGAGAGAGAGAGAGAGAGAAAGAGAAAGAGGATGATGATGATGAGGAGGAGAATGATGATGACGAGGAGGATGAAATGTGAATGAGAGGGGAAAAAGAAAGCAAGAAGGCAGGCGGGCCCTTGGGCTCTCTCTCTCCCTCCCCCTTTGATCATTTGGCATTTGGGTGGCACAGTCATTCAATCCAAGTCTCCGAGGCTCTCAATACGGCCTCGGCCTGGCCTCGGATACCTCGTAACGGCCTCGAGCATTGCGGCCTTGGAGTGATGACTCTACAAGACTGAGCACCAGAGCACCAGAGCACCAGAGCACCAGCGATCAGCGAATGCATGGCCACTCCATGCAAAGATCAAAGAGGGACGGACGAGGTCTGAGCGTCCCAAAAGCAAACTCGAGAAAAAGGCTATATTCAGGGGCTCAGGGCTCCAATTTCTAATATCTCCACATCCATCCTAATCACAATCACAATACGCCACCCGAAAGATGCCGTTCCTGGACATGCTCAATCCAGACAATGCCGACCAATTGGACCAATCCCCGGTTGAAATGGCGCCTGTCCTTTCTCAACTTGCCGCATTTGGGTAGATGTTCCTTCCCTGAAATCCCTGAAGTGGCCATGTTCCCCCAATCCACGCTTGCACCTGCTTCTTCTTCCACAATCCCACAATTGCCACCCAAGTGCCATCCAAATCCTCAATTGCTCGATCCAAATCTTACATCTCTAGTCGCTCACATGTACAACCTGCAACATTGTTGGAGCTCTCTCTCCCAATATCCCTCCTCCCTCCCTCCCCCCTCCCATCACCCCTTCCAGTGCTTCGGCTTCCGGTATCCCCCACCGGCGTCCTCATCCGCTCCCCGCTTGGCTCGTCGTGTCTCACGCCCCTTCCTGATCCGATCCGTCATCTTAGCACTCGGCGTCAGCTTCCCCCCCACCCCAGATACAGCCCTCCCAACTTACTGATATATCGCGTGACCAACGGGGCCCCCATGAACCCGAAACGCCAGTGACTCCACCGCCGTCTCGAGGAACAGGCGGCGCGGGCTACCGTCAGCACATGTCCTCAACCTCGCTCACGTCGCCTTGTTCAGCGGATTCGACTGCCCTGTCAGCATCCCTACCACAACGCTCTCACCGCAAGCACATGCTTGAGCGTGGCCAACTCAGCGTCCGTCACTTTGTAAATGTCATTCGCCGTCGTCTTGTTGATACGCTTCTCGTACAGCGACGCCACAGCCTTCGCGCGCCACGGACTCGGCCAAAAGTCATGGATGACCTTGAACCCCTGCTCGCTCCACTCTGTCGGATCAAATTCGTACACGTCACCGTCTCTCGGGTCGTCCTTGTCTTCCGGCGTCGACGGGACGACCCACGGTCCCCGCGGCGCGTCCTCCTCTCTCGGCGGATGCTCCGCCACGTGAATCATCATCTCGAGCTCGGCCTCGAGCTCCTCCAGCCTCTCCTTCTTCCACACCCTGCGGCCGAGACGGCGCTCATACGCCGCATGGTCGTAGCGCGCAATCTGTTGGTCGCCCGCTTCGCCTTTCGGCCCGAACGGCCGCTGCCCCGGCCGGCTGCCGTTCACCACGCCGATGACTTGTCGAGTCGCCGTGCCGTCTTTCACGGGGGGATGCTCGATCGGCCGTCCTTCCGCGGCTTTACGCTTCTCGCTGGCCTCGTACCCGGCTTTATAGCGCGCAACGCGGTGCGTCATGAGGTGGATATCCCGCTCTTGCCTGTAAACCGCATACTGCTCCCGCGACCAGTCCTCGCGTTTCCCTCGGGGAATGTACGTGTTGGAGGGGATGTCGCGAATGCGCACGACGAGCTTTGGAACCCTCCACTCGGCGACGTCGCGGCTGAAGATTTGGTTGGTGAGAGGTGCGCCAGTGGGTGGGAGGGTAAGTTTGTCGGCCAAACCAAAGTGGATGCAGAGCTCCTGCTGGTCAGTGGGCCGGATTGGAGCGACCCGCTCATCATGTATCGCGGCGGCGACATCTAGTTGGGCCAAGCTCCCATCGCTGGCTGCCAAGAGCCTACTCACTTTGAACAACGCGTCGTCGAACAGATTCCGGAACATTGTGTTGACACCGGCAAGGGCAACGTAATCCCGGAGCTGCCGTCAGCCCAAGCAGCGCATCTCCTCCTCCTATCCTCTCTCCTCGCTATTGCTCACACCTAGGCCTGTCTCCAAGGAGAAGAGTCTGTCAAGGATCTCCTTTGGCAGGTTCAAAATAGGCGTATCCTTGCGCGAATACCAGTTCGGCAGATCATGCCACTTGACTAGCTTGGTCACCGGCGGGACGCGGACGCGCTTGGTGCTCTTGCCGTCGTATTGTGCGCCACTAGTCTCCCGATAGCCAGGGCGATCGATGGCGTCGGAGAGTGTCGAGTGGTATTCATCCACGTCCATTTGAGAAGGGGAGCGGGCCATGACAGCTGAGGCGACGAGGCGACTCAACGAGACTTGAAAGATGGATGATATGTTGTGATAATGCGGTGGACCTCCACCATTCCCGTCCACGACGACGGAACCAAAGGCGCCCCTCCACCGCAGCACGCCTCCACCTGGCCACCTGCGCACCTGCAGTCATTCCGCTCGACGAACCACACCTTCCAGCTAGTCAGCACCGGTGGCCAGTGGCCAGGTGCTTGGAATCAGTGCGCATGCATTCGGACCCAAGACCTCGCTAGAGGAAATCACTTAAACTAGATGACAGAATATGATCCGTCGCCTCATCGCAAACCCCCAGTACCGCAGAGTATCTATATCGAATGCTGGCCCGACGCCCCTGCTCACGTCTGGAGCAGCTTGTCGTTCACAGCGTCGGTAGTGAGACCTTCCTCGCCATCGCGCACCTCGAGAATCTGTGGTCAACTTTCCCGCTCCTCCCCACCGCCCTAGAACTTACCTTGGCCACCTCGGCCGTCTGTTGGAAGTACGACAGACTGGACGCCTGCAGCGTCATGAGGTCAGTGGGCGCTGTCGAAGGCATCCTGGCGTCAGCGCGCCCTCCTCGCTTGCATGCGCACCAGTTGATAAGGAGGAGGGGGTACGACACTCGCCCGTCCTTGTGTTTCTGCGCGTCAGCCATGCCCCGACACGCCACACACAAGCTCGTGGGAGAGCAGGACGAGGCGCGGCGAGTTCTCCGGCAGCTCTGACGTTAGCTGGCGCCTTAGCCCTGGCGCACCCTCGGCAATTTCCTCGACGGAAACATCAACAAACTCCTCGTCTACGGCCATGGTGAGGCTCGCCTTGACGATCTTGACTGTTGTCAGCGGGACCCCGCCCACGGCCGTTCCACGCACTCGAGATGGCGGCATTGCCCTTGGAGTGAGTGAAGCGGAACTTTTTCAAGGCGTCCTGGACATCGGTGGGGATCTGGACGGTGCGGGACTGATGTTAGCAAACACGACTGGGCACCGGCTTGCCATTGTGGCTATAGGATGTTGGTGTTGATGAAGATTGGATCGATTGGAGACGACGTGACGTCAGGAACCAGCTGATTGTGGGAGGGGGCGTGTTGGGCATGCTGGATGATGGAATTGATCCCGATAAGTAGTTGTCGTGGGTGATTTGTTGATCGGGCCGGGTGGCGGCTAGAGCGGAAGGGGCGGGCTGAGTGGCGCTTGCCCGCAGCGCTGTCTACTCTGTGCCTGAAGAGATTCATTCACCTTCGGCTCGCGGCTTGCGGCCCGCAGGCGGTGATGAGCGATCCATCGCCCATCGCTCATCGGCGGGCTCCAAACGCACGCCGCTCATACTTGACCTTTCTCCACCTCGTCTCCTCCATCCTCCCCTCTCTACTCCTCCTCCTCCTCCTCCTCCTCCTCCTCCTCCTCCTCCTCCT